TGAGGGATTGGCTAGTAAGAAATAAAACTCTAAAGAATAGATACAAAACTCAACACCAAAAAACCAAACAACCAAATTAAAACATAGGCAAAAGACCTGAATAGATACTTCTTCAAAGAGGACATACAGATGGCCAATAGATATATGAAAAGATGCTCAATGTCACTAATCATCAGAGAAATGCAAATTAAAACCACAATGAGATACTATCTCACACCTGTCAGAATGGCTATCATTAATAAATCAAGAAACAACAACTGCTGGCGGGGGTATGGAGAAAGCGGACGCTAGTAAACTGTTGGTGGGAATGCACACTGGTACACCAGCCATTATGGAAAACAGTATAGAGATACCTCAAAAAAAAAATAAAAATGGATCTGTCTTTTGACTCAGCAATCCCACTCCTGGGAATATATCTGAAGGAACCTAAAACACCAATTAGAATGGACATAAGCACCCCTATGTTCATTGCAGTGTTATTTGCAATTGCCAAGATATGGAAGCAGCCCAAGTGTCCATCAGTAGGTGAGTGGATAAAACAACTATGGGACATTTATACAATGGAATACTACTTGGCTATAAAAAAAGAAAATTTTACCCCTTGTGATAGTATGAATGGACCTGGAGAGTATTATGTTAAGTAATATAAGCCAGTCAGAGAAAGACAAATAACATATGATTTCCTCATATATGGAATCTATTGAACAAACCAAAGTAACAAGGAAAATGGGGACAGACTCATAGATGGAGAGCAGAATGACAGTTAAGGGCAGTGGGAAGGTGAGGGGGGCAGAGGGATTAAACAAAAAGGGAAAAGGACTCATGGACATGGACAACAGTGTGGGGATTGCTGGAGGGAGGGAAGTATAAGGGGACTAAATGGTAATGGAAAAATGCAATAAAGGTTAAATTAAAAAAATACAGGATAACTGCTATAAGGAACAGCTACTACCTCTAAGGCTGAGGTAGTGCACTGAAGAGGCACAACTATGACTCAGTGAATGAGACAAGTCCCTGTTGTGCTGTACTGGTGGAACTTGCTATAAATCAACCCTCTGGAACTTACTGGAAATTTGCCCTGTAGGGTGCATGTGTGTGTGTATGCATGCTTGCTGCATTCTGCAGCAATCTGCCTAGGGAGCAAATGGGAATAAGAAAACAAAACTCATTTCTTTTTCAGTCTCTCTCCAGCTGAAAAACACTTCCTACAGAAAAAAACTTTAACTGTGCTACTGGCAAAGTAAAAATTGTGCTACCAGCAAAGGGAAAAATATATCCATTTTCACAGAGCAGGCAAAGGGGTGAATTTGAAGTTGAGAAGCAAAACATGGATCACCAGCACAGTGCATTGTTCTACTGCTCAGCTCCCCTGTGCATCCTCCTACACACATTTACGTTCCCACACAACAGCAGATCAGCTCTGCATTTCTACCTAACAAAATATACTTTTACTTTCTACTAGTGAAGAAACTCTCATGCTTTCCCCCAAATGAGGAGACCCACAGTGCCAAGAGTGATTGTACAACTGAAACAATGAAAAGGAACTAAAATTCCAGGCACTGTGCCAGGTGCTTTATATTTTATAACATTTACTTCTTAGAACCTTGTGAGGGAAATGCTATTTTAAATATAAATAATGTAGTGCTGCTACCCAGGAACGTAGTAGGAGAGAAGCATACTAACAAAGATTACTAATATCAGGCAAAGTGATTTGAATGCTAAAAGGGGATGATGGTAACCTGCCATGGAATCCTAGAGAAAAACCTACTTATTCCTGACCAGAGAGCTCTGGGAAAGATGGCCCACTGGAACAGGAAGGATATGAAAATTTCCAGAGGCAATTCAGTGGGAGATAGACTAAGATAGGGGAGATAGAATAATATAATAGATATGTGTGTTCAGATCATAACTCTGTCACTAGTTATTGTGACTTTAAGCAAGTTAAACCCTCTAAACCTCAGTGTTCTCATCTTTAAAATGGGACAATATACCAACTTTTTACAGTGTTAAGGACCACATAAGTTTAGACATGTTAAGTGGCTGTCTTGTGGTAAGCACTCGGTAAATTGTAGCTATTATTATTTTATGGGGGAATGAAACACATGGCTGTTGCGAAAATGACAAGTAGAGAGCATTTCAGCTGAAGGGCAGGGTGGCGTGGGTTTAGTGGGCCTTAATAAGGGCACGTTTTAAAAGCTGAATTATTTTCAGATTTTTTCCCAAAGCTGGCATTGAACATGAATATACAACCTGGAAAACATTAGAAAGTCTGAACTCAAATCAATCACATTATACACTTTTTCTATAGGGTTGGCCAAAATGTTTGTTCGATCTTTTCCGTAAGATGGCTCCAGCAGCTCTTAGTTGTCTTTACCTTCATTCAAAACAATTTTGTTAGATTGTATTGTGACAGTTGTCATATCAGTGTATATTTTAAAAAACATAAAAATAGGTGAATTTTTGTGTAGCCATTTTAATATTGAAGGTGGAAGAAAATAAGCAACACTTTTGGCATATTATGCTTTAGTATTTCAAGAAAGGTAAAAACGCAACTGAAATGCAAAGAACATTAGTGCAATGTGTGGAGAAGGTGCTGTGACTGAGCTAACATGTTAAAAGTGGTTTGTGGAGTTTCCTGCTAGAGATTTCTTGCTGGATGATGTTCCATGGTTGGGTAGACAAGGTGAAGTTGATAGCGATCAAATTGAGACACTAACTGAGAACAATCAACAATACACCATGCAGGAATTAGCTGACATACTCAAAATATCCAAGTCAAGGGTTGAAAATCATTTGCACCAGCTTAGGTATGTTAATCACTTTGATGTTTGGGTTCTACATAAGTTAACTGAAAAAGGTCTTCTTGACTTTATTTCTCCATGTGATTCTCTACTAAAATGTAATGAAAACGTTCTGTTTTTAAAACAAAATTGTGCCCTGGCTAGTGTGGCTCAGTGGATTGAGCACTGGACTGTGAACCAAAGGGTCACTGGATAGATTCCCAGTCAGGGCACATGCCTGATTTGTGGGCCAGGTCCCCAGTGGGGGGCGTGTGAGAGGCAACCACACATTGATGCTTTTCTCCCTCTCATTCTCCTTCTCTTTCCCTCTCTCTAAAAATAAATAAATAAAATCTTAAAAAATAAAACAAATTGTGACAGACAATGAGAAGTGTATACTTTACAATAATGTGGAATGGAAGAGATGGTGAGGCAAGCGAAATGAACCACCAACAACCACACTAAAGGCTGGTCTTCATCCAAAGACGGTGATGTTGTGTATATGGTGAAGGGAGTCTTCTATTATGAGTTCCTTCTGGAAAACTAAATGATTAATTCTAACAAGTACTGCTTCCAATCAGACCAACTGAAAGCACTGGATGAAAAGTGTCCAGAATTAGTCAACATAAAATGCATAATATTCCATCAGGATAACACAAAACCTTATGTTTTTTGACGACCAGGCAAAAACTGTTACAACTTGGCTGGAAGGTTCTGAGTCATCCACCATATTCACCAGACATTGCACTTTTGGATTTCCATTTATTTCCACCTTTACAAAAATTTCTTAATGGAAAAAAAATTTCAACTCCGTGGAAGACTGCAAAAGGCACCTGGAATAGTTCTTTGCTCAAAAATATAAGTTTTGGGAAGATGGAATTGTGAAGTTTGCCTGAAAAATGGTAGAAGGTAGTGGGACAAAATGGTGAATATGTTGTTCTATAACGGTATTGGTGAAAGCGAAAAATGTGTCTTATTTTTGCTTAAAAACTGAACAAATGTTTTGGCTAACCCAATATGATGTGTTATGTAGGAAGAGCATTTGGGGAAGGGTGGAATTACACTGACAGCTACCGGTTCACACTTTTTAAAAGTACATTTAAAAATATATGAATATAGATATAAGGTAATGTATGCGAGGCGCCACACTTGGGGTCGTCCCTGCCCGCTCTCTCCATCCGGGTATTTGCAGACTGGGCGCTACTGCGCAGCTGTATAAACCGTCTCTTATGATACAAGTGTTGCGCTTTTACAGTTTGGCGCCTTAGTCTACCAGTCTCCTCCAGTGTGCGGTAGCTCTGCAGTTGCAGCGCAGAAGCCGAGCTGGAGACACTCTGAGTGGATTCCTGCCTCACAATGTCTGCCGGGCAGGGTAAGGTGACCTCTCCAAAGCTGCCCTACTACTTTTTACCTCTTTCCTCCTGGGTCTGAGGAAAGGATTCGCACCTAGTCCACCTAGAGGCCTACGCAGGCCGGGGTGGCATTGGCCGGTCGTCGGCAAAAGCCGATGGCCGCTCTCTCTTAGTGGTTAGTGCGCACGTGGGAACTCAGGTGTGAGGGGCAGGGTCTGGCCTTGGGTTCAGGGCATCCTAGGGATTCGATGTGTCCCAGGAACTCCTGGTGTCGTGGCTTCGTGGCGTCCCAGACGCTTGTGGCGTCTTTGTAGTTCATGGCGTCCGTGGGGCTAGAGACAGTCCTGGGGCTCATGGCGTCCCTCGTGTTGGGCTCGCGACATTTACAAGGTTCATGGTGTCCTAAAACCTTGAGGGAATGTGGCGCTTTTGGCATTTATGGGGTTCATGGTGTCCCAGGGGCTTGAGGTGATCCTGGGGCTAATGGCGTCCCAGGGGCTCGTGGTGAGTCTAGGGTTCGGGACGCCCCCAGGGTTCATGGTGTGCCAAGGGCTTGAGGTGGTCTCGATGTCGTGGCAATTTTGGAAGTTATGGTGTTCTAGGAGCTCAAGGTGACTCTGGGGCTCATAGTATCTTAGGGATTTGAGGAGACACAGGCTCCCAGAGCCAGCGCACGGAAAGGCGGGACTTTTTTCCCTGCTCGAGGGCCGTTATTCTTCCCAGGATCCCTAGTGGCCATAAAGCTACGGCGGCCATTTCCTCTCTCGAGACTGAGCCCCTGGGTTCCGTTCCGCATGCCTTCCAGAGGGCCATGTGAGAACTGGATCATACCGCCGCATGTTTCCTTTGAACTTTTTCTAACGGTGCCATGTACACAGGCCATGAGCCGCTGTTGAGCACAGCCTGTTGGGCAGTCCGCAGTTTGCAGCCTCAAATTTCAGCAGCACTGCAGTGGCATGGTTTGGGGTGGTTCCAACCGCCTCTCCTCTGAGGCCTGCACGAGTAAGTTACTTTTTGCAGTTTATTGAATACTTCGTGCTGAGTTTCTTGGACTGAGTTGATCATTTATCTTTTCTCTTTCCCTGTTGGAGGAGGTGGGAATCCAGGAAGAGCAAAGACTCTCAGACTATATATCTGAAATGTTGAGTTTAGAGACTTGATAAAGTAAGCCTGCCTGGCATGGTTTGGATTGTTGGAGCACAGCCCACAAAGCGAAAGGTCGCCAGTTCGATTCCCACTCAGAACACATGCCTGGGTTGCGGGTTTGGTCCCCTATGGGAGCGTGTGCAAGTGTAAACCAATCCGTGTCTCCCACATCGATTTTTTTCTCCCTCTCTTTCACCCTCCGTTCCCCTCTCTGTAAAAGAATAATAAAATGTTAAAAAAAACAATTGATAAGCTCGCAAGTTGATTCATTATAAATTGAGATCAAGGCATTGATTTTGAGGCTCTTGAGGGTAACTGCGTTTCCTTAAAGATAGTGTAGCCCCCTGTTTTATTGTAAATACTTAAAAGAGGAAAAGGAAAATAAGGATGTAGGTGTGAAATCCCCGTGTATAGGGCCTCATGCAGGATTCAGAGAATACTGCAAAATATAGAAACCCCTGTAAAGCAAGGGAGGCCTTCTGGGAGTGCCGCGGGTTCTATCCTGTCTGCTACGCAGTTGAGCATGGGTTGGTCATTTGATAGCAAAAGCTCTAACATCGTCTGTTGGGGGTCGGTTCTGTACCCCCCTCTATCCTGCTCTCCCTGAATTTGGACTGAGAGTCCAAATTCATGCTGGGTTTAGGGTTTTATAACGTGAAGTGGTAAACTGGTTTAAAGTTTACAAGTAGTGAATTTACATGCACCTTTTCTGCCGGCTGTTTGATAAAGCCCAGCATGGCATGGGCTCAAGTCAGTTTCGAGCCTGCCTACATCAAGTGCTGGGGGATGGGACAGTTTCGACGGCATTATTGACATTTTGGCTGACTTGTAGTCTATCTAAAGTTTGATATGGACAACCAAAGGGCTGCTTTGGAGAACCCTTACAGGAGATTTAGAGAGTGATTGTTCAGTGTATTGACACATGGTTTTGCTTAAAAAAAAAAAGGAGCTGTGTCATCTATGTTAATCTGCCATTTTGCTGGTTATTCCCTACCATAGTACTAATGTAAAATGCTGGTTTCAGTCCTTATCATTGTGAACTGTATCTTATCTGGTAAGTTCATGGCAGCTTAGTTCCTTGCACCTTGGGAGCACAATCTTCTAAAAAACTTATAAAAGTTATATCATCTTTTAAAAAAGAATTAATTGGAATTTTACAAATTTACTGAGAAACCTTAGTGGAATTGTCCATAGCTTTACTAGCTCTAGTTTGAAAAATCTATTGATATTGATATTGATAAAAGCTCATCTTAAAAATAAAATTTCAGCCCTGGCTGGCGTAGCTCAGTGGATTGAACGTGGGCTGCAAACCAAAGTGTCACAGGTTCGACTCCCAGTCAGGGTACATGCCTGGGTTGCAGGCCATGACCCCCAGCAACTGTATATTGATGTTTCTCTCTCTCTCTCTCTCTCCCCCTCCCTTCCCTCTCTAAAAATAAATAAATAAAATCTTAAAAAAACATAGAAGTGTTTTAAAAAATAAAATTTCAATTACCTTTGTTAATTTGTCCTGATTATAAAGAGTAAAGTTCATTTTAGAGAATCTTAACAAATACAGAGTAGTCTAATGAAAATAATTTTGTACCCAGAGATAGTGGCATAGAGATAACCATTGTTATGTTTTCTCCTACTCTCAAAGTTAGGATTGTAGTATATTTTTCTACTTTGAATCTCTTTTCCCCCTTTAACATTATTTCATAAACATTTTTAACATTAATAAATGTTCTTTGAGAATGTGCTTCTCATTGGCCATTGGCCATATGATGGAATAGTACATATGGAAATACCATAATTTATTTAACCGATTCTCTTTTGTTTGGCTAGTTTGGTAGTTTCTAATATTCTATTTTTTTTGCCATGAAGATTATTAAGTAGAGTTCATAGCAACTTTCCAAAACCAGCTCCATGTTTTATGGATGTGAAAACAGAAGCAAAACAGTAGATGTATCTGGCCTGAGGGTCATATTTCTGGATGGCTCTAGAGCCTGAATTGGAACCTACATCATCTGATTTCCACTTTATTACCATTTTCACACCACTGCACTCCCTCACACTAGCTAATTAATTTATTCTAATGTTTTGGCCTGTTTCAAATAAATGTATTGAATCTAAGTTGTATGCAATGTAATACTCCAAGCTTAAATATGTTCTTTTCCAGGGCAACTTTAAGAAATAAAGCCCATTTAAATTTCATGTATTTTGCATAATTGCTATTTTTCATATTTATTAAACTGGTTTACCCTGTTGATATTTCACATCTAGTTTATTTGTGCCTACTTCTTTAACATTTTGTGAGGTTCAATTTGAATTTAATTGGTTTCATAACAACATTTACTTTTGTACTTTATTTCTGCATTATTTATTATAAAGATTAATATTAATTTTTAGAGAACAATTTGGAAATTCCTGGTCACTACAAAGTCTGGCTATGTAACATCAGCTATATCATTTACAAGTTAAAATCATATCATTGTACATGTAATAGCATGGGCCTGGTGGTCATGTTTCTTAAATGAGAAGAAATCAATTGCTCTATAAAGCAATTTTCAACCAGTGGCCCCCCAAATTTTTAAAACTTGCAATACCTGACTATTTAATCAGGAACACTGACCTCTTTTCCCTTAGACTGTCAAGTAAAAAAGTGACAACAGCCAGCACAGCAATAGCTATCTGGTATAAATGAATCAAAATTACACCTATTTTTTTTTGTCAGGCAAAAATATATATTTTTTGGTGTGCTGTAGAATTGTACTATAATTAGTTTAGTGCCATGACATGAAAAAGGTTGAAATCACCGGTCTATAAAATTGGAAGTACTAGAAATAATACTATATGTGTCTATATACATACATATAAACATGCATATATGTCTCAGTGCTTCATACTAAGCAACTAATTTTTTAGCTATCTTGCAATGATTGGAGATATGAAACTAATGTAATTTTTCAGCTAAAATATGTATTTTTAAATACTTCATAATTGTATAAGGTGTTCTCCTTTTATAAACTATTTAATGTGGTATCTAATTTAAACTTTCTCTTTGCTTATTCTTAGATTATATTATTAAAACTTTTGGTGGTAACAGTGATGAGGACAATAAAGATCTTGTGATAGTAAAAAAGCCTGCAACAGAGCTTACTGAGAACACATCTTCCACCGGTGGCATGTTGACCATGCAACCACATTTTTAAGGTGGCAGTGATAATCATCAGCCACCATCCCAAATGTCAAATGGTAATTTTGCAAAATTTTTTCCTGCACAAAATTTGGCTTCTGGTCTCCTTTTCCAGTAAATTGCTTAAATATTCCTGTATCTTTTACATTAATTAGTTATTATCAGAGGGCCAAGCTCCAGTGTGATACCACTATGTTTACTTGTGCTTATATTTCCCCTTCATTTAACCATCGTCATATGTCTTTTTCCATTTTTGATTGGAGAATATATTCTGTCTCTGAAAAGTTATTTATACCTGGCAACTGTAATTATAACTGTTGGGTGGCAAAACAAAAACTGTATTAATGGGAAAAAGAACTTGGGTCAAGGGTCCATGGAACAAGTGACATGATTGTCTCTGTGGAAGATCTTAAAGAATAAACAAACATACCCCCAGAACTATTAAATAATTATAGCAAGATTGTAGGATATAAGGTTAATATGCAAAAATCAATTTTTAAACAGTGCCATCTACATTGGCACCCCCAAAAAAGTCCATGGAAAGTTTAGTCTTGCTTCTAGAACTGCCGTGGCTACTTGTCTTCCAATGGTTGCTTGTCAACCCATGTTGATAAAGGAAATTTGAGGCCGGCTATTCACCACCTCACTTATTTAGAGAGCCAAGGGACAATAACCCCTTTGAACATTTTTTCAGTAGTTGTATGAAATTTTTTCTTTGCCCTATGCTTAGAGAATTGGGTTTTCATCCCCTTTAAAACATTGAAATGTTATTGCTTAAATTGGAGGTTGGCAAACTTTTTGTAAAGAGCCATATAGTCAATATTTTCAGCTTAACAGCCATAAGGGGTCTGTTATAACTACTCCAATCTGCTGTTGAAGCATACAAACAGCCAATATATAAATAGACAAATATGGCTATATTTCAGTAAAACTTCATGGATACTGAAACTTGAATTTCTTAGAATTTTTCCTTTTTGTGAAATATTTGTCTTTTATTTTCGTTTCTTTAATAATTTAAACATGTGAAAACAGTTTTTAGTTTTTGGGCTATACAAAAACACTCAGCAGGATTTGGTCCTCAGGCTGTACTTTACCAACCCCTGATCTACGTGAAGCTAAAAACTAATTCGAACTGTGGAGGGGAATAAAGGGGAGGAAAAAAAATGGGACAACTGTAATAGCATAATCAATAAAATATACTTAAAAAACTCATTTGATACCACTTCTTATTTGTTCTGGTTTAAAAAATATATATGGGACCAGCAGATTACTTTCTTAGTGTGTTATAGAACATCTGGCTGATTCAACAGTCTTCCTTAGTGGGAATGAACTGGAGAAGAATTTTCAAATGTGGATATCCTTTGATTTATCATTTCTAGGAATTTATACCACAGAACCACTTCCAGGAGTACAAGACTGTTCAGCAGTGTTTTGTGCAAGAGCAAAGCTTTAGAAGCAACTTGAATATCCTTAAATAAGGGACTAGTTATATAAATCATGGCCTGTCAGCATGATAGCAAATCAAGAAGCTGTTAAAGTGATTGCAGTGTATTTAAGATATTAGTTTGGAAAGTCCAAACTAATACATGCTTGTTGAAAAAAGGAGGTTGCAGAGTAGTATTTATAGTCTGATCCCTTTTATTTATCTGTCAGAAAAATTCAGAGTGGGAGATATCAGTAAAGGTGTTCAGTTACATATTTATTGTGGTAAATATACAGACATCATATTTTTATTTTAAGCATTTGTAAGTGTACAATTTAGTAGCATTAAACAGCCTGGTAGCTCTGGCTACAATTTTCAGTATAGTGTTGATAGCAGTGGTGAAAGTGGGCATCCTTGTCTAACTTCTAATCAATGGGGGAAAGCTTTTAGTCATTCACCATTGAGTATGATGTTAGCTGTGGATTTTCATAAATACCTTTTGTCTGGGTGTGGAATTTTCCCTCCATTCCTAGTTTTCTAAGAATTTTTTTAAGGAAATGGTGTTGGGTTTTGTCAGATACCTTTTCTACATCAGTTGAGATCTTCATGTAGTTTTTTCGTCTTTGTTCTATTAATGTGATGTGTCACATTGATGGGTTTTCTTATGTTCAGCCACCCTTGCATTCTTGAGATAAATCCCACTAGGTTGTGGCGAATAATCCTTTTCATATGCTTTTGCAGTGATTTTCAACTGGTGTGCCACAAGGATTTTTAAAACATGCAATACCTGACTATTTAGTTAGGGGCACTGACCTTTTTCCCTGAGATTGTCAAATTAAAAAAAATGACAACAGCCAACACAATAATAGCTGTCTGGTTTGAAAGAATAAAAAATATACCTATTTTTTGTTAGATTGGCACAACATATATTTTGGAGTGTTGAAGAATTTTAGTAATTAGTTTATGAAATGAAAAAGGTTGATAACCATTGTGCCAGTGGATTAGCTTGGCTAATATTTTGTTGAGGATTTTTTTCATCTATGTTTGTAAGGGATTATTGGTCTGCAATTTTCATGCAATGTCTTTTCCAGCTTTAGTATCAGGGTAATTCTGACCTCATAGAATGAACTAAGAAATGTTTTCTCTTTAGTTTTTTGGAAGAGCTGGACAAGGGTTGTTAATTCTTCTCTAAGTGTTTGGTAGAATCTACCAATGAAGTCTTTTGGTATAGTTCTGGTCTAGGGTTTTAGTTGTTGTTTGTTTGTTTGTTTGTTTTGGCTGGAGGTTTGTGATGACTGATTCAATCATTTGTTATAGGTCTGTTGAAATTTTCTATTTTCGCTTCATTTAGTTTAGATAATTAATTTTTTAAATTTTAAGAACAGAACACTTTCTCTAGAATTCAGCTAGGAATTCAATTCAATTTGAGTCAACATTGTGAAAACATCCATATTAAATTTATTAAGGTACTAAGTATTTGAAGTAACTTTTTTATGTGTTGCTTTTCAGGAGTTGGAGGTTTACCAGGGTTAGGTAACCAACCAGTTTCACAAATGAATCATCCAGGAAATTTAAGAAGAAACAACCCCAACTCAGCGGGTGTGGAGTTTACCCCATTGAACAAAAGAGGACGATCATCTGTTTCAATGAAGAATAACGTGGTTTGTATATTACAGTAAAAACATCTTTGTTTTTTTCATTCTGCTTTATTTCTTTTTTAAATTTTATTTTTATTTTTATTTTTTGTTGTTCAAGGACAGTTTTCTGCCTCCTTCCCACCACCCCAGCTCTCCCCGCCTCCCTCCCCTGTTTCTACCCCCCTTGTTATTGTCCATATGTCCTTTATAATTGTTCCTGTAAACCCTTCACCCTTTTTCCCATTATCCTCTCCTCTCTTCCGTCTTGCTTTATTTCTTTTAAAAAATTAATTTTAATTTAATACAGTGAAGTATATAGATCTTAAGTGTACAGTTCAGTGAGTTTTGACAAATACGTTTACCCACCCCCATCTATATAAAGAACATTTTCATCATCCCAGAAAGTTCCTTATGCCTCTTCCCAGTAAGTACCTATTCTCCTGAACTTTGGAGAAATACCATTCTGATGTTTTTTTAAATCATAGATTAGTTTTGCCTGTTCTAGAACTTTATATATAAATAGAATCATATAGTATGTACTGTTTTGTGTCACAGTCTCTTTTCCTTAGAATAATGTTTTGGAGATTCATCTGGTTGTAGCAATATTTCATGTCTGTTTATTGCTAAGTAATACTCTGTTGTAGGTATATCCATAATTTGTTTATCCATTCTCCTCTTGATGGAAATTTTGGATTGTTTCCAGTTTCTGGCTATTATGAGTAAAGTGGCTATGAAATTATTATGGAAGTCTCTTTGTGAACGTATGTTTACATTCAATTTGAGTGAATACTTAGTAGTGGGAATATTGGGTCACGGGGTAGATGAAAGTTTATCAGAAACTGCCAGTTTTCTGAAGTGGTTGTACCGTTTCACATTTCCATCATGTCTTTCTGTGCTTCTTCATATCTGAAGTTGAATAAAATAGATTTTTCAATTATATATAGTTTAGCTTAACAGAAAATGAATTTATTTACTTATATAAGATTGATTGAGGAGGGAAAATGCAGACAGCTGTAACTGAACAACAATAAAGTAATTAAAAAGAAAAGATTGAGGAAAGTAATACCACCTAAGTAGTATAGGCAATTCTCTTAACTTCAGTCAGCTCCAATATTTTTGTCTTTGGGAATCATGTTAATTGCCTACCAGGAGTCATGGTTTCTGACATAATTATGTGAAATCACTTTAAAAAGAATAAAGCAAAAAAAATAAAAATTAAAAATTAAAAAGAATAAAGCAGTGTACAAGGGTAAGATAGCAATATTATTTTATTAATTACTAATCTATATTATAATTCCATATAATTTTGCTAATAATAAGTTTATAATACAGGGCTAATTCAGATAATGTTTAAACAAAGATATTGATAGCTACTTGATATATTTCTATTAAAATTATTCACATAATTTGCAACTCATCCTTAGAACAAAGAGTTATTATGATTAAATGTAATGGCTATTGCTGTCTATTTACTTATTTATGCCTTGTTTTATTCCCAAAAAAGATTTGAGGTGTTTTAGAGATTATTTTATTAAGAAAAATGGGTGCTTAAGTATTTCCTGTTTTGTCCACAAAGCGTCACTGTTGGATTATTTGAAAATCAAAGGCCATGTATTTGGTTCTTTGTTCCTAGTTAGAAATATTTGCTTTTGAAGCAGTTTTAGTGCCAGGTTACTGGAAGACTGTTCTGCCTACCCTGAAATACATAAGGGGTTAAGTTTGATGGAAAATGATGCTTTAAGTATAGTTGGGTTAATGAAGAAACAGTTTTGCCAGTATATCTTTTCTTGTAGTCATAAATATTTATTTACAATGAACAAAGGTCCTTTAGGCCTTTGGTGCTTCTTGAAAGTGAAATTCAAGCCCTGAAATTTCCTTCCATATTTCCTTTTGGTTTATTAATGAATCTTCTCTAGACAAGAATATGAATACTTGATTGTAAAGAAGGTGGAAGTGTCATTAGTGAATGTATATCAGACTGAGTATTTACTTAATATTAATTGCTAATTGCCAAATATATTCATACTTACTATCATAAACAAAATGATTTAAATTCCTTTTCAGCCTTTGTATACTATGGAGTTACTGTGAAGTCGTGAACTTGAGAAATATTTCTCTCTCATGAATTTGTATACTTCCTTAACAATGAGCACCAAACAGAGACTATGAGCACTTAAGCATTTTATTTTCCTTTTGTTCTAGTCTAATAGGAAATTCAAAGCAGTTTTTCTATCATTTCAATATCTTTTCTAATTTTTGAAATAATTTTAGATTTATGGAAGAATTGCAAAAATATTAGAGTTCTTGTGTATACACTTCACACAGTTTCCCTTAATGTTAACTTACCTTTATAACTTAAAATTATAGTGATTGTATAACCACAGTACAGTTCTCAAAAGCATAATATTAACAATGGCACAGTACTATTAGCTAAACTGCAATCCTGTGGCCTTTTGACATGCCCCTACTTTTTTTGAGCATTTCCTTATTTTCTGACATCACCAGATGGTGAGGCTCATTTTCACATTCCCTGTCCTAGCCCTGGAATTCACCTCCTTCCACAGAGCTCTGGTTCCTTTTATTCAAGAACAGTACTTAGAAATCAAGATCTAGACACTAGATGTCTTCATTGATACTTGTGTCATTTATCACAGGTTCTCTCAATGGACAGAGTTAAGAAATAAATGTATGTGTTCTAATCCATGCATACACACGTCTATTTCTGTAGCACTCTTTATATGTGTTATAAACTATATGTTCATACTGATATTCGGTAGCTTTTCTTAAACCCAGGTTCTTATATATAAGCTTCTTTCTTTACCTTCTTGTTAGTCAGCTCTTAATCTTTTTCATTCTCATATGAATTTGACTTTACTTTATCTCTGCTTTATAAGACTTTTGAAAATTTTTTATCTTTAATTTATTTAAATTTTTGTTCAAGTACAGTTTTCTGTCTTCTACTCTCATCCCAGCCCAACCCCCCAGTCCTCCCAACCTCCCTCCCATTTCCACCCCTCCTGGTTTTTCTCCATGTGTCCTTTATACTTGTTCCTGTAAACTCTTCCTCCTTTCCCCTGAAATTCCCTCCCCTCTCCCCTCTGGTCACTGTCCGCCTGTTCTCTCTTTCAGAAGACTTCTGAAATTCTTTTGGAGCATAAGTGAAAAAGAAAAATAATTAAAATAGATAAATATATGAAGTGTTATTTTTTCTAGTGCTTAATTTGGCTTCTAGTGCTATTAAATATTGAATATTCATTTTTATCATTTTAATAGGTGAGAAACACATCTGGAATTTTTGATAAAGAAAAACATCGAAATCAACTTTTGAAACTGAAACACTATTGCGAGGTATCAAAGTTTTGTATCTTAAATGTAGTTTTTGAAGATATTGAGCTAAAATTTTCTTTATATCATTTAATGCCACTGTGCTGTTAATAGAAATTTTTCTATGTGAAGTTCTATATGATTGTCACTCTGTTGTGATATATTAAAAACATTGCTAGTTAGAATAGTATCCCTAATTCATAAAATAAAAATATGATATAAAAATACAGCTTTTTTAGGTAAAAAAAATAAACCAATTCATAACTGGTAAAATGTTAAGTCTCTTTCATCTAGATTGTTCAATATTTAATTTCTCCAACATACTCTTTTTAAGGAAATTGGCTGATTTGGATGAAATTTAGTATGTGCCTAAATACATATCAAGATGTCTCAAGGAAACAAAATGGCAGCCAACCAGTTTTTAAAAGAGTATATCTTACATAGTTTCGAGGGGATTTTGTAAAAATTAGTATATTGGTAGAGGTAGATAGAAGTATGTAATTATCAAGGATTTTGTGGGCCACATACCCTAGAGGTAATGAACATTTATAAAAAGTCAATTTTCTTAAGGTATCAAGTGTCTTGAATAAAATGAGCTAGCATGCTTTGAAAAGTAAATAATGTTTATATGAGTCTTGATCAAGTGGAATGCTTAAAGGGGACACATCAAGTCTTCAGGGGAAAATGTGCAGAGGATGGGCCATAGGGGGAGGGAGAGGGTTCTCATTCTGAGCAGGGCTATCCCTGGCCTGCCTTGCCTAAGCATCCAAGACCACCTAGGTACACACTGCTCTGCCAGGCCCTTCTGAGCAATTGTGCAGGGTGTGGTGGGATGTAGCATCTCAGATAAGACATGCTCAGGCCCCATGAGGGATCCAGCCTATTTCTCCTAGTGTGTTAGCTCTCTCCTTTCTTCAACTTCTTTCCTTAGCAGCCTAGACTGCATGGTGCAGCACTTCCATCTTTTCTTTTTTATCCTTGCCCACATCCTCTTTAGTAAAACCCCAGCCCTGTCCATGCTGGGAAGCAGAGGGGAGGACTTCTGCTGGGACCTGTCCACTGTCTGGTCTGTAGTCAGCACCCTCTCCCCATGTGCTCCAGGCACGCCCATCCTTGCCTCTTGTTTAATGGAGAAAATGGGTGGGGGGCAGAAATCTTCTCCCCAGAGCCCACAGACTTGCCTGGGATACATTGTTCTTCTGGTGTTTTTCTCTGTAAGGCCAACATCTCTGCTGGCTTCTGCATCTGACCCTCTTTCCCTGTGCTCAGACTCCTCCTTTCATGGGTCATCCCTCTCTCTCCTGGATCTCCAGCCTCTGTGTCTATTACTGTCAGCATGTTCTCTCACGGTTTTAAAAAAATCACTTCTCCCCTGGCTGGTGTAGCTCAGTGGATTGGGCGTGGGTCACTGGTTCGATTCCCAGTCAGGGCACATGTCTGGGTTGTGGGCCAGGTCCCCAGTATGGGGCGTGTGAGAGGCAACCACACATTGATGTCTCAGTCCCTCTTTCTCCTTCCCTTCCCATCTATAAACAAACAAACAAACAAACAAACAAATAAGTAAATAAATAAAATCTTTTTAAAAATCACTTCTTTTAGCCTCCTAGCCCTCTTCCACTGTCATCTGTCCTCTCTCCTTCCCTTAATAACCCAGCTCTTTGAATGTCAGTTATGTTCACTATTGAAACACCTGACTTCCTGTTTTCTCTCTGAATATTTTTGAATACACTGTTCTTTCTGCCCTGTGTGTCCTTCCATGCATCTTTACCTAGTGAACACCTTCTTGTCTTTTAATTCTCAGTGTAGACCTTTGCTTCTCTGAAAAGACCTGCCAACCTGCATTAGGTCTTTGCGTACACTTAGCCTCCTGTTCTTACCCGTGCCATGATAGTCATCATAGTAATGTTCACATTAATAGATGATTGAGCACGATTGGACCAGTCATCGTGTAGTATTGCTAATATGTTAGTATGAACATAATACCATAGCACCTTGTTTTGTCCTCAAGAGAGCTCAGGGATTTTCATCCTGATTCTATATGTGAGGAAATTGAAGCACAGAGAAGTTAAGTAACTTGACCAAGGTCACAGAGCTAATAAGTGGCAGAGCTCTAATACTGAAACCCAAGCTCGTTCCCCTGGAGTCCACACTACTTACCTCAGTGCTGTAGGCCCATCACTGGGCCTCACACTTGATGTGACATCACAATTACCTGGAGGGCTTGTGAAAACACAGGTGCTGCCCCCACCCTGAGTTCCCAATTCATTAAGTCTGGAGTAGGAGATTGTTCATTTCTAGCAAACTAGTATTGATGCTACTGGTCCACAAATCCATACTTTGAGAACCATTGCTCCAGGCTGCTAATTACTTTCTCTATTGAAACCATCTCTTCACTTGTCTCTCTCCAGCTAGAATAGGAGTTCCTTAGGACAGGAGCTGGTTGGGGTTTTTCCCCTTACCATTCATGTTTCCAGCATCTAGCAAAGTAGTTCTGACAGGTGGTATGCCCTCAATAAATGTTTATTGGAATGAGAGACTGAGGAAATGGTTCTGCACTATTATTTAAGTGTCTTTTTTGCCTGAATAAAATTTCTCTGCATTTCAAGAATTCAGTCACTTACCTGATTGGCATATAGGGGATGTGTACTCAAAGATTTTATGGCATTAATTGTTGATTTTATGAGTTTTAAATGCTTTGAAGCCAGAAGTTACACCTGATATATCTGGCTCACTGTTCTTACCAGAGTGGAATGTTTGCTGCATATTAGTTTATGTTGTCATATGGAAAGAGGTTCTTTGGATTTTCAGCAGATTTGAACATTTACTTCCAAATGTAGTACCTTCTTGATGTAAAATGACTCCATCAGGAATGTGATAGGATATAGGAATTGTGGTACATTTACTTTCCAGAATTAAAGCCTCTCAAAATGCCTGTGTGACATGGAGTAGTTGCATTGGAGGTTGGGGATCCTTGTGGTCAGCCAGCTCTCTGTTACTGACAACCAGGCATCAAGTTGGCAAGCAAGACATTTCTGATGGCATGAGAACTTTTTTTGTTCCTAGCAGTCAAAATTGGCTTAGTGGTATTTTCTTATATGTTATGTTTATTTTAAATTGGTACTACTAAAATATTTTTTATTATAATAGGGTTTGCAAGGCCTTATTCAAAACACGAATAAGCAGGTTGCTCAGCTTTGTCGAATCATTTCAAAAATGCAAAGTACTGAGGAGGAAGAATCCTTGCCAAACCAGGTGAGTATTACAAAAATATTTTTACTACTTTGATAAACCTCTACTTCCTGATGATCCCATCAGTTAGAAGTAAAAGAGAACTAATACCTGTGAGATTAGCAAGTCTGATCTATGCTTACTTTAGCAGCAGGTGGGAGACTAAACCTCTGTTGAAAGAATGGTGAAATTTAGTTTTAAGAACTTATTATACTGAATATTTTTATGTTTGTAACCATAATGTATAAAACGGAAATAAAATGTAGGGTTAAATAAGAATAAAAACCATATTATAAAAATTTAGCATTCAAAGAAAATAGGTATTAGTGCTTTTACCAAGTTTTTTATTCTCATTTTTATTCACATCTGGGTTTACACCAAAAAAATTTGATTGTATACCTCATGGAGAAAGTAAAGTGCAGGAGCCAAAGAAAAGAGTTTAACCCATTCTGTTCTTACCCCGGACAGGGAGATTGTAGCCCATCTTTAACAGTGGAAAGGCAGGAAAACAGTACCAGAGCTAAGCCCTGTAGGATCATCCCTTTAGTCTGCAGCACTCCCTGAACTGTAGCAGCTGGTCCTCAGGGAAAATCCACCATTTCTCTGAATTGTCTCCACACATTCATTGCAGCTGCATTGCATACCAGACAGCCCATTTCCTGGTCTTGCTATCTTAGTCTGATTTTGTAGCAAAGGGGCTGAAAGTACCAACAGTGTTATCTTTGTTCCCAGGCAATACCTACAGCAGAAGAACAAAGTCTGGCCAACACCCCTGAGATGATGGGAAATCACAGCATGGACCCAGACACTGCCTCATCATCTGTCCACATCCATCCTAATTTGGGTGAGTTTGAAATGGCACGTATTATAAATAGCATCCTTCAGTCTAGATTACAAAGCACCCTGGATGTAGGCTAGCGATCGCTGTTTTATTTTCAATTATAAGTTTTATATTAAAATAATTGTAGATTCACAAATAATTACAAGAAACAATGCAGAGTAATACCGTTTACCCAATTTCCTCCAATGGTAACATCTTGCAAAACTACACTAAAATATATCATAGTCAGGATATTGATGTTGATATAATGCACACATCTTTTTCAGTTTGACTTGTATTCTTTTGTGTGTCTCTGCATTTAGTTCTATGCCGTTTTTATCATGTAGGGAATTTTGTATGTCTACCACTATAGTGAAGGCACAGAACACACCATCACAAGGATCATATGTGTTACCCTTTTATAACCATGCTCATTACCCTCTGGTGGCCCTGCCCTTCTCATTTTCCAGTCTTAGCTCTGGGCAACCACTGATGTATTCTCCATCTCTAGAACTTGGTCCCTTCAAAATTGTTATACAGGAGTGGGCAAAAGTAGGTTTACAGTTGTGAGTACACTAAACACACAGTTTATTATTGTATTATTATTTATTATTTTCCATATGAATAACTACAAACCTACTTTTGTCCAGCCCTGTATAGTTGGATGCATACAGTATGTAACCATTTCATACTGGCATTTTTTTCACTAAACTTAAGTCCTTGGAGATTGAACCAAATTGTGTGTATTACTAGTTATTTCCTTTTTATCACTGAGTGGTATTCTATGGTATATCTCTGCCATCGATTAACTGTTCATTCATTGAAGAAAATTTTGGTTAGTTTTTTTTTCTCAGTTTTTGACTATTAGGTGTAAAGCTGCTATAAATATTAATATACAGGTTTTTGTGTAAACAAAAGTTTTTGTTTCTCTGACACAAATATCCAAGAGTATAATATCTGGTTATATGTTAATCACATGTTTAGTTTTATGAGAATCTACCTCTTTTCCAGTGTGGTTTACCATTTTACTTTCCTGCCAGCTGTGTATGAGTGATCACCGGATCTCTGTATCCATATTTCTGCTCTTTCCATGGTTCTTTCTTCCTTCTGATGCTTCATGATTCCTTTTTTCATCATATTCTTACTGATACAAGTTTTCCTTTAAACTTTCTTTAAGATTAAATCTTCTGGGAACAGAATCTTTCAGTTTTCCTTTGTGTGAGAGTGTCTTTATTTCTTCTTCTTTACTAAGGGATAGTTTCACCCAGTATAAAATTTATGGATGAGAAGTCTTGTACTATAGCCTACAAATACTTTTTTATTTATATAAATGTCAGGAAAAGCAGAAACCAGCCTTGAAAGCAGGACTGAGTCCATGTGTTACACAACTTTATTGGGAAATGACAGTGGCCAAGATACTACCTCTTCATCCTTCCCACTTTTGATAAGTGTGAAATGATATATATTATAAGTGGCACTGTTTAATCTAGATTTAGCAACATCCTTAATACAAGTCAGTGGTAGCTCTTTTTAATTTTTTTTTATTTTGAAATAATATTAAATTCATGTGTAGCTATAAGAAATTATACAGAGATCCCATTTATGCATTACCTATTTTCCCCAATGATAACATCTTGCAAAACTATAGTAAAATACCACAACCAGAATGCTGACATGGATTAAATATACATTTGTGTATGTATGTGTGTACTTAGTTCTATGCAGTTTTATTCCATGAGTCGGTGTATCTGTCCACCATCACAGTCATGATACAGAACACTTCCATCATCACCCCAAGGACCCTTCTTATTGTCTTTTTATAATCACAACCACCTGCCTCTGGTCACCCTCCCCTTCTACCCTGCCTCTTCCAAACCCTTGGGAAGTGGTGAACTGAAGTTCCTTTCTATAATTTTGTCACTTGAATATTGTTATTTGAATGAAATAAAATGAAATACATAATCTTTTAGGCATGACATTTTTTTTTTACTAAACATAATTTCTTGGAGAGTCATACCAATTGTGGCATGTATCAATCAATAGTTTCTTCCTTTTTATTGTTGAGTACTATTCCATGGTATGGATGTACAACTGTTTGTTGTATCTGTTCACCCATTGAAGGACATCTGAAATATTTCTAATTTTTTAGTTATTACAAGTTAAATTCTATGACCAGTCATGTACTGGCTTTTTGTATAAACATTAAGTTTATATTTCTTTGAGATGAATGCCTAAGAGGACAGTTCTGGGTCATATGGTAATTATGTTTAAGTTTTATTAGAAACTGCTAAATATTTTTTCAGAGGCGCTATACCATTTTACTTTCAACTCATAATATATGTGATACAATTTCTCTGTATGCATATTCTCCTCTTTCTAGTATTCTTTCTTTCTTCTTCATGCTCAAAGATCCATTCTTTCATCATAACCTTTCTATCTGAGCACTTTCCTTTAACCTTTCTTTAAAGGTAAGCCATCTGCAAGGGACAAGTTCTTTTAGTTTTCCTTCCTGTGAAAATGTCTTTCTTTATTTTCCATATATTAATGAAGGATAGTTTCACTATGTATAGAATTAACAGCTAAGAGTTCTTTTCTTAAGCACTTGAAAAATGTTCTTCCTGTAGGTATGCAAGAAATAGCAGGAAACAGCCAGGAAAACAAATGTGAGGCAATGAATCGCTCAACTTCATTTATAAATGGCAGTGGCCAATGTTGTTCCTCTTTACCTATCTGCCTCCCACTTGGTGAGTTTCTAGTGATAAATATTACAAGTAGCACTATTTAATCTAGATGCATCCACATCCTTAGTGCAAGCTAGTGGTAGCTCATTTTTTAAATTAAACTTTAATTTTGAAAAATCACAGGCATAGCAGCATGGAACAGATTGACAGCTATAAAATGGAAGGGGCTGCTGGGGTTGAAAGGAGGTGAAGGGATTAGTCAAAGAACATATATGCATGACCCATAGACATGGACTATGGTGTGGGTATTGCCTGAGGGAGGAGATACTGTGTGGAGGGGGTAGAGGGGGCAAAATTGGGCTGTGTGGAGGGCTGAAAGGGGTAAAATTGGGACAACTGTAATAGGATAAATGATAAAATAGTGTTTTAAAATTAAAATTTTATTTTGAAATAAGTTTAAGTTCATATGTATTATAAGAAAGAATATAAAGAGATCCTTTTATACTTTACCCTTTTCTCTGAATGATAACATTTTCCATAACTACAGTAAAATATTACAACCAGGGTATTGACATTGATATTGTACAATGCATAGATGTTCTTGAGATACCCCGTTTTACTTATAGTAACTTGTGTGCATTTATTTCTTTTTAATTTTACCAAATGAATAGGTTTGCTATCCACAACTACAGTCAAAATACAGAACATTTCCATCCCCATACAAATGTGTCACTTTGCCACATCCACCTCTTTCAGGTTACCCTTTCCTTCCCCACTGAACATTCCCTAAACCCTGGCAAACTGATTTCTTCAAGAATATTATATAAAGGGAATCTTATGGTATGTAACCTTTGAGGATTTTTTTTTAACTCAGCACCATCCCATGAAGATCCATCCCGATTGTTGCTTGTATCAGTACTTCATTTTTATGCTGAATAGTTTTCCATGTCTTTGCTGCAAGAGTGTTTTTGATCATTCACCCATTGAAGGACATTTCTTTTTTTCCCCTCCACGTTTTGGTGTTAGAAGTAAAGCTGCTGTGAACATTCATGTACTGTTTTTATAAATATAAGCTTTAATTTCTCTGTCATGAGTGCCAAAAGTGCAATTGTTGAGTGTTATGGTTATAGCATGTTAATTTTATAAGAAGCTGCTAAACAGTTTTCCAGAGAGGCTGTACTATTTTTCATTTTCACAGGCAATGTATGAATGATCCAGTGTCTCTTCATCCTTATTTCTGTTCTTCCCATTGTTCTTTCTTCCTTCCTGATGCTCTAGATTTTATTCTTTCATCAAATCCTTTCTGTTTGAAGGTTTTCCTTTAGCTTTTCTGTATGGGTAAGTCAGCTGAGGACAGTCTTTCAGTTTTGCTTTGTTTCAGATTGTCTTTATTTCACCCATTTCCTAGAAGACAGTTATGCCTCATATAGAATTCACAGTTGAGAGTTATTTTCTTTCAGAAGGTTAATGGTACATGCTTACTGAAGTTCCAAAAAATGAAGAAACTAGATTGGAAATTTACCCACTTTCATTGGGAAATGACAGTGACCTAGGTACTCACTCTTCAACTCACACTCTCCAGCCTAACGTTGGTGAGTTTGAAATGATACACATGTCAAGTAGCACTGCTTTATTTAGATGCATTGACATCCTTAATGTGAGTCAGTGGTAGCTGTTTTTAAATTCAACTTTCAATTTTTTTGTAATTTAAGACACACATACTATTGTAAGAAACAATACAGGGAGAACCCATTTATGATTTACTCATTCTTCCAAACAATAACATCTTACAAAACTATAATAGGATATCATAATCATGATATTGACATGGCTACAATCCACAGATTTTACTGAAATTTCTCCAGTTTAATTCTATTGATTAGTGTGTATGTGTTGAAGTCTATTTGATTTTGTCACATGAGTAAGTTTGATGTTCACCACCACAGTCAAGATACAAAACATTTCCATTCCCATACAGATGCCTCACTTTGCACTTTCATTACTACACCTACCTCAGCATAACTCCCTGGATATTTATCTGACTTGTTGCGTGCATCAGTAGTTCCTTCTTTTTTTTTTTATTGTTGAAGACTGTTCCGTGGTTTGTGTTTTGGATCACTGTTGAAGAACATCTGGATTACTTCCAGTTTCCAGTTTTACAAGTAAAATTGCTATGACCATTCATGTACAGGTTTTTGTGTACACATAAGTTTCTATTTCTCTTAGATAAATGCCCAAGAGTGCAGATGCTTGGTTGTATGGTAATAGCATGTGTAGTGTTATGTAAAACCACCCACGGTTTTCCAGAGAGGCTTACCCTTTTACTTTTTGCCAGTGATATGTGAGTTAGCCAGTTTCTCCATATGCATATCTCTGCTGCTGTCATTGTTCTTTCTTCTCTCTGATGCTCCAACATTTCTTCTTTCATCATTCTTTTCTGATAGGAGATATTCCTCTAGCCATTCTCAAGTGTAAACTGCCTAATGATGTATACTTTTAGCTTTCTTTCATGTGAGAATGTCTTTATTTCCCTTTTATTATTTTTAACAGTTTGAGTGCTCATTAATTTTTCAGCTTTATTGAGGGATAATTGACAAAATTGTAATATATTTAAAGTGTACAATGTGATGATTTGATAGACATGTACATTGTGAAAGGATTCTCAACATTGGGTTGATTAACACATCCATCACTTCATATATTTACCTTTTTATGTTTTGTGCTGAGAATGCCTAAGTTCTAGTCTCTAAGCAAATTTCAGTTATACAGTACAGCATTATCAACTATAGTCACCATGTTATACACCCTCAGACTTCAGTTCATTTTATAACTGATAGTTTGCACCCTTTTATCAGCCTCCCTATTTTTCTGTCTTCCCAGCCCCTGGCAGCCACCACTCTACTCTCTGTTTCTATGAGTTCGACTTTCTTTTTAGATTCCACATATGTGATACTATACAGTATTTGTCTTTGTCTGGCTTATTTAACTTGGCATTATGCCCTCCAGGTCCATCCATGTTGTCCCAGATTTGCTTTGTTCTTGAAGGATAGTTTCACCTGATATGGAATTCATCACTGAAATTTGTTTCTCTGATCGCTTCTCGGCCTTTTGGCTAAGATCAAGTGAAATTTGTCTCTCTGTATTTGAAAATATTTTATTTATAGAAATGTTGGTGAAACCAACTTGGTAAAGAGCCCCCAGACAACAAATTGTCCACTTTTATTGGAAAAAAAGAACAGTAGCCAAACTTTTCCTCACTATGTTGCTGCATTCATCCCAGTTTTGGTGGGTTAGAAATGAAATGATACTTATGGCAGGTAGCATATTTAATGTAGATTTATCAACATCCTTAGTGCCAAGACAGTGGTAGCTTTTTCTAATTAAAGTGTTTATTTTTAGAAAGATTTAGCAGCATATGCAGTTGTAGTAAATGATACAGAGAAATTCTTTGTTCCCATTACCCAAATTTCCCCAATGGTAAGAATTTATAAAATGGTAGAAAATTATCACAACCAAAATAAATGACATACCATCCAGATATTATTGAGATGTCCCTAGTTACACTTGTGTTGATGTGTGTGTTTAGTTCTATACAATTTTCTCATATGTCCTCTACCACAGGCAAGCCCCCAGTTTCATCACCACCATGACTCATATTGCTCTTCATAAGCACATCCACCTCCCTCTGGTTGGCATTCCCCCTCACTCCCATTTCCTGCCATGTCTCTAGCTGCTGGTAACAACAAAGCTGTTCTCCAGATCTGTAATTTGACCCTTCAGCATTGTTATGTAGATGGATCCTGTGGCATTTGAGACTGGCTTCTTTCCCTCAGTGTAATTCCCTGGAGACCATTCATGTTGTTGTGTATATCACTCATTCCTTGTTTTTTATTGCTTAGTAGTATTTCATGGTATGGAAGTTCCATGGTGTGTGTATTCATTCACCTGTTTAAAACCTCTGGGTTTCCTGTTTTGGGCTGTTATGGGTAAAGATGCCACAAATATTCGTAATAGTTTTTAATCTTGCTTTATTTCATTCTTGCACACAATTTTCATTTCTCTGTGATGAATGCCCAAGACTGCAATTTCTGGTCCTTTGGTAATTGTGTCCTTAGTTTTTGAGAAGAAACTGACAAATTGCTTTCCACTTTGGCTGTATCATTTTCCATTCCCACCAGCAATGTATGAGTGATCTAGTTTCTCTGCATCCATATTTCTGCTCTTTTCATTGTTCTTTGTCCTTCTTGATGCTCCATAATTTTTCTATTATATCCTTTCTGTTTGAAGATTTTCCTTTAGCCATTTTTAAGCTTGAATCAGTTAGTGAAAAATACTTTTGGTTTCCTTTTGTCTGTAATTATCTTTATTTTTGCTTCACCACTGAAGGACAGTTTCATTGGATATAGAATATGAGATTGAGAGTCTTTCCTTACAGCATTTGAAAAATGTTCTCCTTCTAGAAATGGTCAAAGCAGAAACCAACCAGAGAGAGAACATTCAGATGATGAGTAATGCACCACTACTGGGAAATAACAATGGTCAAGATCGTCCACGTGTCGTCATGCATTGTAATGTTGGTGAGTTTGGAATGATACATATTACAAATAGCACTGTTTAATTTAGATTTATTAACATACTTAATGTGAAACTAGTGGTAGCTTTTACTAATAAAAACTAATTAAAATTAATTAATTTTAAATTAATAGTTTTATTTTGAGAAAAATTTAACTGCACATGTAGTTGTAATAAACAATACAGAACCCTGGCTGGTGTGGCTCAGTGGGTCGAGTGCCCTCCAGCGAACCAAAGGGTTGCCAGTTTGATTCCCAGTCAGGGCACATGCCTGGCTTGCAGGCCAAGTCCCCAGTAGGGGGTGCATGAGAGGCAACCACACATTGATGTTTCTCTCTCTCCCTTCCCCTCTCTCTAAAAATAAGTAAATTAAAAAAAAAACCAATACAGAGAGATCTTGTGTATACCTTACCCAGTTTCCCCTCTGATAACATCTTGTAAAACTACAGTAAAATATCACAACCATGATAGAGACATTGATGGAGTTCACAGATTTTATTTAGATGTTCTTAGTTTTATTTGTATTTTTATGCGTGTTTATGTTTGTGCATGTACATATATTCAGTTTTATATAATTTTCATGACATGAGTAGCTTTCCATATCCTCCATTAGAGTCCGTATTCAGAATATTTCCATCACCACATGGATCTCACCTATTGCCCATTCACCTTTCACCCTTCCCCCTCCTACCTGTACCCGACCCTGCCCTTGCCCTTGGCAACCACTAATCTGCTTTCTTTCTTTATAATTTTGTCATTTAAAAGGTTTATATAAATAAACATACATAGTATGTAAGCCTTTGGGCTTGCCTTTTCTTCATTCAGCATAATTTCCTGGAGATTCATCTAAATTGCTGTGAATATCAGTAGTTCTTTTTTATTGCTGAATACTATTCCATGGTATGGCTGTATTATAGTTTGTTTATCTGTTCACTGGTTGAAGGACATCTGGGCTGTTTCCAGTTTGGCTATCAGGAGTAAAGCTTCTGTGGATACTTGTGTACAGGTTTTTGTGTGAACATCAATTTTTCATTTCTCTGGGATAATGCCCAAGAGCACAGTGGCTGGGTCTTATGATAATGGTAAGTAGAGTTTTGTAAAATATTGTCTGTCTTCCAGTGTAGCTGTACTGTTTTACATTCCCACCAGCCAGGTTTGAGTAATCAAGTTTCTCTGCTCTTTCTATTTTTTTCTTTTTTTTCTCATGCTTCAAGGTTCTTTCCATCATTATATCTTTTTTATTTGAAGATTTTCCTTTAGCCATTTTTAAGGATACATCAGCCAGTGACATTTTTTAAGTTTTCCTTTGTCTGCAGATGTTTTTATTTCTCCTTCATTCCTGAAAGATAGTTTTTCCTTATATAAAAATTACTGTCGAGAATCTGTCTTTCAGCACTTTAAAATGTTTTACTTAGCAAAATGTTGTCCAAACAGACTCTAACACAGAAGTGAGGTCTGAGACAGTGATTTCTGCAACTTCAACAGTGGAAAATGGCAGTGCACAAGATACAAAATCTTTCGTCATCACTCCTAGTTATGGTAAGCTCAAAATAATACATATAAGTAGCACTCTTTAATCTAGTTTCATTGATATTCTTAATATTGTTAGTGATAGTTTTTTAAAAGTTAAAATTTTCACTTTGAGATATTTCAGAATCACATGTAGGTGCAAGAAATAATACAGACAGGTCTTGTGTAACCTTTACCTAATTTTTGCCAATAATAATATTTTGCAAAAATATACTAAAATATCACAACTAGGTTTTGACATTGATATTGTATAATCCACAGAACATTATGCCTAAGTATTTCACTTTCTTTGGAGGTGTTATAAATGGTATTATATTTTAAATTTTTGTTTATACATGTTCATTGTTAGTATATAGAAATGAACTTGAATTTTGAATGTTGATCTTATATCCTATGACCTTGCTGAGCTCAGTTTTAGAAGTCATTTGTGGTAATTCTTTGGAATTTTCTTTTTTAAGTATATTTCATTGACTATGCTATTACAGTTGTCCCATTTTTTCTCCCCTTTATCCCCCCTCTGCCCTGCACCCTGCCACCTTCCAGCATTCCTCTCCCTTAGTTCATGCCCATGGGTTGTACATATAAGTTCTTTGGCTTCTCCATTTCCTATACTATTCTTAACCTTTACCTTTCTATTTTTTGCCTACCACTTAGGCTTCTTATTCCCTGTACCTTTTTCCCCCATTCTTCCCCTGCCCTTCCCCACTGATAACCCTCCATGTGATCTCCATTTCTGTGATTCTGTTCCTGTTCCAGTTGTTTGCTTATTTTATTTTTTTTTTTAGGTTTGGTTGTTGATAGTTGTGAGTTTGTTGTCATTTTACTGTTCATAGTTTTGATTTTCTTCTTTTTCTTAGATAAGTCCCTTTAACATTTCATACAGTAAAGGCTTGATGATGATGAACTCCTTTAACTTGACCTTATCTGAGAAGCACTTTACCTGCCTTTTCATTCTAAATGAAAGCTTTGCTGGATAGAGCAATGTTGGATGTAGGTCCTTGCCTTTCATGACTTGGAATACTTCTTTCCAACCCCTTCTTGCCTGTAAGGTCTCTTTTGATAAATTAGCTGACAGTCTTATGGGAACTCCTTTGTAGGTAACTGTCTCCTTTTCTCTTGCTGCTTTTAAGAGTCTCTCCTTATCTTTCATCTTGGGTAATGTAATTATGTGCCTTGGTATGTGTTTCCTTGGGTCCAACTTTTTTGGGACTCTTTGGGCTTCCTGGACTTCCTGGAAGTTTATTTCCTTTGCCAGATTGGGGAAGTTCTCCTTCATTATTTGTTCAAATAACTTTTCCACTTGCTGCTCTTCCTCTTCTTCTTCTGGTATTCCTATAATTCGGATGTTGGAACGTTTAAAGATGTCCTGGAGGTTCCTAAGCCTCTCATTTTTTTTGAATTCTTGTTTCTTCATTCTTTTCTGATTGGATGTTTCTTTCTTCCTTCTGGTCCACTCCACTGATTTGAATCCCAGTTTCCTTCCCATCACTATTGGTTCCCTGTACATTTTCCTTTACTTCACTTAGCATAGCCTTTATTTTTTCATCTAATTTGTGACCAAATTCAACCAATTCTGTGAGCATCCTGATTACCAATGTTTTGAACTGTGCATCTGATAGGTTGGCTATCTTTTCATTGCTTAGTTGTATTTTTTCTGGAGCTTTGATTTGTTCTTTCATTTGGGCCATTATTTTTTTGTCTTGATGCTCCTGTTCCGTAGTGAGGGGTGGAGCCTTAGGTGTTTACCTGGGTGGGGCAACCCATGTTGCTGGGTTGTGACACTGTATGTGGGACAGGGGTCTGAGAAGGAACAATGACGGTTGCTCCACTCTCTGCTGGATTTCAGTTACTTCCCCTGCTACAAATTGGGCCCTTCTGGTGCTGATTCCCGGGTGGGTGGGTTTGTGCATGTTCTAGGACCCTGTTGGTCTCTCCAATGAACTCTCCTGTGAGGTTGGAGGTTGCTCCTGGCTTGTCAACCCCCACAGGTGTTTTCAGTTGGTGTTTTGAGGCTTTATTTCCCTATGCTGGGACCCTGGGTTGCATGGTCTGTCCTGCTTCCCAGTTTCACCTGCTTTATCTGTGCAAATGTGGGTCCGCCTGGTCCACCAGCCACCTTGTGCACCGCACCCCTCCACAATCCGCTGCCTCACTGGGTCTGCCAGCTGCTGCCTTGCGCTCCCGGGGTTGCCAGCCACTGCTTTGCCCCAACCCTTCTCCACCCGGGCTCAGGACTCTGCCTCTCCTACCGGTCTGGATGAATATATCTACTTTAATTCCTTGGTTGTTGGACTTCCATACAGTTCAATTTTCTGTTGGTACTGGTTGTTTTGTGTTTCTAAATTGTTGTTGTCCTTATTTTGCTTGTGCAAGGAGACACAATGTATCTACCTACACCTCCGTCCTGGCTGGAAGTCCATTGGTTGAGATTTGACATTTGTAATTCTGGAGAAATTGTTAATTTTCCCAAGGTATTAAGTTTATGCATGTAAACTGGTTTGTAGTATTCTCTATTATCCTTTTAATGGCTGCTGAATCTTTAGTGATATCCTATTATTAATCTTTTTTGAGACATCCCTTTTTGCTTCATTGATTTCCCATTGTTTTCATATTTTCTGTTTTATTGATTTCTGCTCTTTATTGTTTCATCCTTTTACTTATTTTGGGTTTATTTTACTCTTCTTAGTTTTTGGTTTAGGAACTTAGATTATAGATTTGAGATCTCTCTTTTCTAATGTAAGTATTTAGTGCTGTAAGTTTCACTTTCAGTATTGCTTTAGTTGCATACCGTGTATTTTGATGTGTTATATTGTCATTAAGTATTTTTTAGTTTAAAAAATTTATTATATTTTTTCATTACCATTTAGTTCCCTTATACTCTGTCGTCCCCCCCGCAATCACCACACTGTTGTCCATGTCCTTGAGTCCTTTTTCCTTTTTGCTTAGTGCCTCTATCCCCTTACCTTGCCACTGCCCTTAACTGTCATCCTGCTCTCCATCTACAAGTCTGCCTCTATTTTGCTTGTTAGATCAGTTTCTTCATTAAATTCCACATATAAGTGAGATTATATGGTATTTGTCTTTCTCTGACTGGATTATTTCACTTAGCATAATGTTCTCCAGATCCATCCATCCTGTTGCAAAGGGTGAATTTTCTTTTTTATGGCCAAGTAGTATTCCATTGTGTGAATGTCCCATAGTTGTTTTATCCACTCATCTACTGATGGACATTTGGGCTGCTTCCATATTTTGACGATTGTAAATAAGGCTGCAATGAACATAGGGGTGCTTATGTTCTTTTGAATTAGCATTTTGGGTTCCTTGGGATATATTTCTAGAAGTGGGATCACTGGGTCAAAAGGCAGATCCATTTTTATTTTGCAGTGTTGGTAGGAATACAGATTGGTGAAGTCATTAAGTCTTAATGGATTTTATTGCCTGGAAACTTTCTCTTTGACATATGTATTATTTAGAAGTGTGTTGTTTAATTTTCAAGTATTTGAAGATTTTCTCTTGTCTTTATATTATTGATTTGTAGTTGGATTCCATTATGGTCATAAAATATACTCTATATGATTTTGTTTCTTTCAAGTTTGTTGAGATTTTTTCTCTGGCACTAGGTGTAGTCCATTCTGGTGAATGATCCATGGACTTTCAAAAAAATGTATTTTGCTTTTATTAGGTGGGATGTTCTATGATGAGGATCTGTTGGTTGACTGTGTTCTTCAGGTCTTCTATATCCTTACTGATTTTTTTATCTTGTTTTCCATTGGTTGCTGAGAGGGGGTTGTTAAGGTCCTCCACTGTAATTATGGATTTGATTATTTCTCTTTTCAGCTCTTTCTGTTTTTGCTTCATGTGTTTTGAGACTCTTTTGTTAGGTATGTTGAGGATTATTATGTCTTCCTGGGAGATGATCCACTTATCCTTTTTTCCCTTTAGTAACTTCCTTTGCCCTGAAGTCTGCTTTATCTGCTATCAGTATAGCTACTCTGCTTTTTTTGATTAATATTTGCATAGTACATATTTTTCTATCCTTTTACTTTCAATCTATACCTATGTCACTGATTTTGTAGAGTTTCCTGTAAAGAGCGTATACTTGGGTCTTGTTTTTTATCTACTTTATCAATTGTCACCATTTAATTGATATAGTGAGGTTGTTTATATTTAAGGTACATTACTGATATCCTGGGGCTTAAGTCTGTCATTTTATTATTTTTAACTTTGTTTTCCATGTTTGTCATTCCTCTCTTTCTCTTTCTTGCCTTCCTGTGGGTTATCTGAACATTTTCTAGTATTCCATCTTGATTTATTTATGTTATTGATTGTATTGCTTTGTACAGTTTTCCTACTGGTCACTGTGGATGTTACTATATACCTCTACTGCTATTAAAATTTTACCACTTAGCATTAAATGATGAAACTTTAATCTACTCATGGTCCCTTTCCACCCTTACTTTTAATTATTATTGTTTAGGTGTCAGATGGTGTTTTTATTTTTGTTTTAGCTATCACATATGATTTATAAAATTCATGATAGTATCATATTTACCCATATTTCTGCTCTTTCTGTTTTTTATTCCTTTTTAGTGTTGAATAATATTCTATGGTATCACATTTATCACAGTTTATTTAACCATTCACCTGTTGAAGGACATCTGGGTTATTTATAGATTTTGACTCAAGAATAAAGGTGCTAAGAATACTCATGTATTAGCATGACACTCAGGTTTTTGTGTCACTGTGAGCTTTCATTTCTTTGAGATAAATGCCCAAGAAAGAATTGCTGTGCCATGTGGTAATTGCAGGTTTAGTTTTATAAGAAACTGCCAAACTGTTTTCTAGTGTGGCTGGTCTCACCTTCAGTGTATGAATGATTGAGTTTCTCTGCATGCATATTTCTCTTTATATTGTTCTTTTTCCCTTTCCAATGCTCTAAGCTTCCTTCTGTCATCATAACCATTCTGTTTGAAGATCCTTCTTTACCCATTCTTTAAGAGTAGGTCTGCTAGGGACAAACACATTTTGTTTTCTTTTGTCTGAGAATGTGTTATTTCCCCTTCATACCTGAAGAATAGTTTGCTAGATATAACATTTACAGTTGAGAGTTCTTTTCTTTCAGCACTTTTGCCTTTTGGTGTAATTGTAAAAGCAAATGGCATGGGAAATAGCAATGGAACAATGATTTCCCCAACTGTATTGAAAAATGACAATAGCCACGGTTCTTCCTTATCACCTGACTCCATCTCTTTACATATTGGTGAGTGTGAAATGACGCATATTACAAATAGTAATATTTAACCGATATTCTTCAACATTCTTGATACAAGCTAATGGAAGCTTTTTTTCATTTTCTATTTTGACTCCTGTTTTTAGGTGATATAATGATGACTAACTTTTACTGAGTGTACATTATGTGCAAGGCACTGTGCTAATCAACTGATACGCCTTTTCTTTATTAATAGTCCCCATGATGTTGGTGCTTTTATTACCCTCATTTCCAAAGTCACAGAGCTGGTGAGTGGTAGTTCTGGAACCCCAAACCAGTTTTCTCTGACTTTAAAATTTGTGTTCCTTAGTAGTCTTCTGTATTGCCTGCCAAGCCACAGTGGCAGAGATGAAGAGACACCATGTTTTCTGGCCTCCAAAGGCAAGCCTCCTTAATATTTTATAGTTTGTGTATCTATTCCTAAATAGCTGATCTCTTATTAATATCTTAGCACAGGGCTCAGAAAACTTCTTCTGTAAAGGGCTAGATAGTAACTATTTTAGGCTTTATGGGTCATCTGGTGTCTGTTTAATAAGTGCTCAACTCTGTGGCTTTAGCATAAAAACAGCCACAGATATAGGTAAATGAATGGGCATGGCTGTGTGCTAATATGACTTTTATAAAAACTGGTGGTGGGATTGGCCTGTGGATTGCAGTTTGGTGATTCTTACCCTAGAGACCCTTTTCTTTTAAATTACTTTTTTACCCATACTAGGAGAAACTTTAAAAATTGTGCTTTTTGTAATAAATGGGCACTATGATATGCTATTGTTATGTGTATAAATTGGTGAAACTTTCTGAAAGGTAATTTGTATGAAAATCCATAAAATTATTTATGCCACTTGACTCAGTAATCCCACTTCTGTCCAAATATATAACTTTAAAAAATATTTGTATTAAAATTTTGATATGAGTATGCTTTGTAGAATAATGAAAAATTAGAAACAGACAAATAAGCAACCATAAAGAATTAGTTAAGTAACTGCTGGTATATTCATGGTATGTGAAGCAGTAAAACATGGACTTCTGAGTCAGACTGCCTAGGTTCAAACCCCAACCCATGTCACCTTCAGCCACTTCTATGACCTAAATATTAGTTTCTTTATCTGTGAAGTGACAGAAACTGTAGTACCTACTTCACAGAATTGGGAGGATCATATAGGATAATTCATTTAAAGCTCCTGACACAATTCCCAGAGTGTAAGTGCAACATAAATGCCACCTATCAGGAAAATCATGATGATAGGGATGCAGAGTTGGAAATATAAAACAAAAGAAAATGGAAAAATGCTCAAAATATAGTATTAACAGAAAAATCAGGATTCAAACTATATATAAAGTATGATTTCAATTTTGTGTTTAAAAACGGAGTAGAAAAATAATAGAAGACATTAGCAGAAGATTAATGGTTCAGAGTACCTGTCTTATAGACAGACAGACTTAGCTATTAAAATTGGCTCTATAGCCCTGGCTGGTATGGCTCAGTTGGTTAGAGCATTGACCCATAAACCAAAAACGCATAGGTTCAATTCCCAGTCAGGGCACATGCATAGGTTGTGGGTTCAGTGCCTGGTCTGGGCATGTAGAGAGGCAACCAATTGGTGTTTCTCTCTCACATCGATGTTTTTCTCTCTCTTTCTTTCCCTTCCTTTCCTTCTCTGTAGAGTCAATAATCATGTCCTTGGCTGAGGATAAAAAAAACTGGCTCTATACCCAGCAGTGTGATCTTGTTCAAATAACTTAAGTTCTCTAGGCCTTAATTTCCTCACATACTAAGTGGCATTAAGTTGTTAGGATGATGAAACTGAGCTTATAGATGAAAAATATCTAGCATAAGTGCCTTTTATATAGTAGATATGCTACCTATTTTCAAGTTTTCTTAAACGTACTCACCCATACTTTCCAAATCATCTTCAGGAAACATATACTTACTTGGTAATATAGCTCTGAGAGTATAGCTCTTGGTAATATAGCTCTTAAGAGTATCAAAGGGAGCGATGAAATCTCAGAACAACATGTTTACATGTGTATCTGTAGCCTAAGAATTGAATTTATTGAAGACAACAGATTAGTTAAAGTATAATAAACTCAAGACTTTATTATAAAAGATGAAAAATGCTAACAATTATACAGATAGAATTGAATAACTCATTTAAGGAAAAGGACAGATAAGTATAGGGAAAAAATTCACCCAAGTACAAACTTGTGAATTAGAAATCAGTTAGGTTAAGTTTCTTGGGCACTTTTCATGGTAGCCTTGCCTGAAAAAAAATAAGGATTTTATTTGTTCCCTATATTTTTAAAGGATATCTTGGTAATCCAGAAAGAAATGTCATAATTCTTAAGATGCATTTGATGAACGCACAAAGAAAGCCTGAACCTAAGCATGCAGCCCGCTACTTGGCTCGTGTTTTGTTCTCCAAGGAAGTCCTGGTTTGCAGCTCAGTAGGTACCAATCCATACCAAGCAAATCTTAGAAACCGCCAACCCCTAGATCCAAACAAGTTGGCTGCGATAAGAGGTATGTAAAGGTGTTATGGAATCTTGTTTTATCACCATTTGGTCATTTGATAGATGTTATTAGTAGTTGAAGAAATAATGATGAAGTGTTGGTAAATCTTAGAACTGTTCATTTTTTCACCTGTCTGAGCCAGATTATACAATTTAATAGTATGTAATGGGTAACAACTTCTAAATAATAAAACTTGTCAATAGACTGGTGGGATAAAATAGGCTTTATTAATTATAGTTTCTATGTTTAGCACTAAGTCAGTTCTTCAGTGCTGAAACTTGGTACTAAAAAGCAAAGAAAAGGCCAAAAAAATGACTAGGGGAAAATAAAACACATTTCAGTGCTAGAAACTAGCAACACAGAGGTAGAATCTCATGATTAATCCACTTAGTCTCCCGCCTTCCAGAAATGTGTATTAGGGTCCTAGAACTCATAGGCACTGAGGATATAAGGATAAGTATTTCTGCCTTCAAGGAGTTCACAGTTTGGAAAGGGGTAAGGTGAGGGAAACAATCAATTCCAATCCAATATGGTAATGCTGTGGAAGCTCTGAGAGCAGAGCAACTACTTTGAGGGCATCAGGGAAGGCTTACTAAGGGCAAGGCATTTGAGCTGGATTTGGAAGGATTCCTTACCTAGGTAAAGAAAATAGGAAGGGTATTCTAGGCAGAGAGAATAGCTTATGGGGAAAATAGACATGTAATGTGCACAAATAAACCATGGTATAATAATATTTGCAATAATATTACTTTCTCTTTACAGGTTTCCTTTTATTTTTAGTTTGAACTTAAGCATACGGTCATTAAATGTCATTAGCACCCTGAAATAGTTGACTTTTTTTACGTACTTGTTTTAAGTACCAAAACCTCATTACTGGCTCCCATGGTCAGTGTTTTAGGAATCTCACATTAGAAGAAATAAGATATTCAGGAAAGCATCTTCTTTGGGTAGAATTTCAAACCAGTCAGAAAGAGTTAGAAAAAAGAATAACAATTAAAAATAGAAAATTTCAGTATTTTAAATAAAAATTTTCTTGTCAGTTTCTTTGTTAACTTTTTTTTTCTAATTTTCATGAATGCTTTCTGTTACTTGCAGAGTTTCTGGCAACAATTTTTCCCAACCGTGATCTGCGTGAAAACGGAAAAGAGTGGAGAACCTGTCTTAGCTATATCAATGCTCTGATCCGCTATTTAGGATCTACAATCAGAGGGACACCAGTAAGTTATTTTTCATCTAAATATGGTCACCACTGTACAAATGCATACTGTATACAACTCCAGAACCAAAAGCACAACACACAGGATTTCAGGCATGTGGTCAAAATCTTATTTATTTAATTTAGGGGCAGGATATGTTCTCTGAAAAGCATACTGCCTATTTTTTTCACTCTTTGCTATTTATGCTCCATAAAATATCCCGAATATAAAAATATATCAAATATAAGGTTATAGTTAGTATATTTGAACCCAAAGGCTATACTATAAAAATTTCAGCTACAAAGATATTTGACAAATATTTTTCAGTATCCCACTAAGCAGTAAGTGGTACCTGCTTAGCTGTGCTAGTGATAGTTAAGGATGGCACAGGAGAAAAGGAAAGTGCTATTACTTCTTCACCTTCAGTAATGGCAGAACTTAGTGAGAATAGTGCATGTCATGAGGTTAAGCTATCACAGATATTTTATATTCTGTATGGTTACATGGTAAACAGGAATCTGGCTTCCCTCTCATCCATTCTATATTCAAAATCTATTAGAGATTTTTTAACATGAATGGGCCATTAGGGAAACATATCATATCTATTGCTTTCTCCTGATGAACTTAACAACAATTCCTAATTTCCACCCACCTTTCTAAAAACCCCATTTTATTCTTACCATATCTAGTCACTCCTGTGTCTCTAGAGTAACTTTATGGAAACTATTTGCCATGAATATTTGTAGCTGAGCTTATGTTTTTGTGGTGAATGACTTGAATTCAGTGATAGCTCAAGCACCATCTGTAACCAAATTTGCTTATTTTTCACATTCCCTTTTATAGCCTACAAAAATTACACCCTAAACATTTGAATGTAAAATGAAGATACTGCCTGGAAAGTGGTAATTTTCACATTTGCTTAGATATCAGAAGAGAAGCAGCATCTGCCAACTGCCTGCTGTGTACTTGGCTAGGAGTAAGATAGGTCCTTGCCACTCAAAGTAGGTCCACAGACCAACAGGAGCAATACCAGAAAGCTTGTGAGAAATTCAGTCTTGAGTTCTACACCAGACTCACTGATACAGAATTTGCCTTTTAGCAATACCCCCAGCTGATTTGTGTGCACATTGGAGTTTGAAAAGCCTTGACCTATGGTAGTTGTGGTCAACCCTGGGTACATACTAGAATCACATGAGACACTTTTTAAAAGATATTAACTCCTGAGTTTCCTCACTCCCTGCACCAGAAGTTCTGATTGAATTTGCTGAGAGTGAAACTAAAGAGAGCTTTCTTTTATTTTTTAAAGATCCCTAGGGTAATTCAACTATTCGTTTATGTAGCCAAAGTTGAAAGCCATTGGGGAAAGAGAAAACAAACAAGAAACATTTAAAAACAAACAGAAGTTGTGATCTTCAAGAAACTCATTTACTCATTTATTCATGAAATGTTTATTTTTCTGCCAGCAATTATCATTCAGTTCATTAGCTACAGCTACCAAGTCCCCAAGAGGCAACAGTCATGGCAGCTTGAGGAGTAATCTGCACCTATAGTTTTTGGTCATAGCACACAATATCTTTGGGTTTTAGCTTGTCTTATTAGAGACAGTTACTTCCCTACCAGCCTGGGGGTCCTGGGTAGATGATGGAGCATGTCCATACTTTCTCACTATGGGGCTTTGTTTATAAATGCAATTTTGTGTTTCACCAGGAAATTGTTGTCACCACCAACCCCAATATACCAGCATTTGCAAATTTGAACAATAATAGGTATGGTGATGGTGGTGAAGGTAGTTCCCAGTTATCGCAGCAAGCAGCTGTCTCAGAAGCAAGAGCAAGGGCAAATTATCAGCCAAGCAGCAGCGCTGTCCCTGAAGGAGCTGAAAAACCTTCCACTAGTGGTTTACCCATACCTTGTGGAGCGCTGGGTGAGTTTTAAAATATGTTTTCTGGATATAGAATCTGGCTCATCCTTTCATGGGGCTTATTTTACTGTCTTTCTACTTTTATATATGTTTGAAATTTTTCATAATAAGAAATCTAAACAACTTAATCTCTTATATTAATGAGTTATTGCAATATAAATACCTAGTTCTGAGACTGATAGTTTTTAAAAAGAATTTATTTATTTATTTATTTATTTATTTATTTATTTATTTATTTATTTATAGAGAGATGGAAAGGGAGGGAGAAAGAAAGGGAGAGAAACATCAATGTGTAGTTGCCTCTCATACACCCTCCACTGGGGACCTGGCCCACAATCCAGGCATGTGCCCTGACTGGGAATTGAACCAGCAACCCTTTGCTTTGCAGTCTGGTGCTCAATCCACTGAGCCACACCAGCCAGGGTAGTTTTAATAGTAAGTGAAATCTTATTTTTCTTTTGGAAAACAGTTCTCAGCCAACTCCTTTGACTCATGTGAACTCTCATGTTAGACACCCTGCTCTGCAAGTAAAGATGAAGGATATACAGCTGGCTGAGACAGAGGCAATTCAGGGGTCTTGCTCTCTTTGTTGAGCACATTGTTCTATAAAAAGGTTTTACATGAATTAATGAATCCCATTCCTCAGAACATTGTACTCTCATGCCAGCTGTATGCTGGAGATGCACCCTGCTTCATTAGTGTCAAGTGGCAGTGAGTTTTCTAGGTGACTCATGCTTCCCAATGACCCCTCCCTAGAACTCTGGGACTTAGGAACACCTGATGTAGCAAAACTATCTTCTGTCTTTCCTCTGTCCCCTATGTTAACACTAAGTAGAACATTACCTGTGAAACTATTCATATAAAATTATTTTTCTCCAACTTCATTTCTTTTTTCACTATATTCACTAATAAAATATTTACTAATTCACTAATAAAATTATATAAATTTCAGGTGTACAATTATATAATACATCATCTGTATATTGTATTATGTTTATCTTCCCAACTCAAATCTCCTTCCATCACCATTTATCCATCCTGTACCCTCTTCTACCTCTCCCATCCCCCTTCCCTATAGTAGCCAGTATACTGTTGTCTGTGTCTATGAGTTTGTTTTTTCCTTAATCCCTTCACCTTTTTCACCCAGCCCAGCAACCCCCTCCCCTGTGACAACTGTCAGTCTGTTCTCTGTGAGTTTGTTTTGTTTATTTTGTTCATTAGATTCCACATATGAGTGAAATCATATACTTTTTGCCCTTCTCTGACTGGCTTATTTCATTTAGCATAATGCTCTCCAGGTCCATCTATGCTGTTGCAAAAGGTAGATTTCCTTCTTTTTTTAAGGGCGGGTAGTATTCCGTTGTGTAAATGTACCATAGCTTTTTTATCCACTCATCCATTGAGGGTACCTGGGCTGCTTCCAAATCTTGGTTATTGTAAATAATGCTGCAATGAACATAGCGGTGCATATATTCTTTCAAATCAGTATTTTGGGTTTCTTTGGGTATATTGCCAAAAGTGGGTTTACTGGTTCATAAGGCAGTTCCATTTTTAATTTTTTGAGATAACTCCAAACTGCATTCTACAGTGGCTGCACTAGCGTGCATTCCCACCCACAGTGCATGAGGATTCCCTTTTCTCCACATCCTCACCAACACTTATTGTTTAAATGATACATCTTTATAGTATGTTTTTCCACTTTAAAAATAATATAACTACTATATTTGTTAAGATTGTGCATGACAGAAACAGACTTCAGCCAAATTAAACCACCACAACAAAAATCACTGGATGAATAGCTCCTAGATTTAAAGAAGCAAAGAACAAACTGAGCCACAGGCAGGAGCCAGAATGGGGGGCTCTCTGTCCGTAGCTTCCATGATATCTAGGTTCTAGGTTTCTCTTGTTTCACTGTTCAGACTCCCAGGAAAAATAATCTGATTTGGGGAGGTTGGGTCATAGGTCTCTGACCCTGACTTAGCTAGAACCAGAGGTCAGGGCAACGAAGTGCATTGTGAGCCAGGTAGCTGCCCCAGTTTCTGTGTAGTCAATTATACCATTTTATGTTAAAAGAAAGGAAGATATTTAGGAGGGAAGACCAAGATACTTTAAAAAACTATTGTGGATATGTTAATTTTATTCCATTTTTTTCTTATGAATCTTTTAAAACATTATGGTGTCCATATAATAACTCTTCTTTTAAAACATGACATGTGTGTTTCCTTAAGAATCTCCAATCTTTTAACAGATATATAACATTCCACAGGTATACAATATTAGAGTAAGTGTACCATAATTTATTTAACTACCTTCCTCTTTTTGTTGTTGCATTTTTTGGGTAGGATTATCAGTCATGCAAATCATGCTGCCATAAGCCCTCAACTTCATTTGTGTAAGTTTTTACACATTTTGGATTCTTTTCTTTTTTTAAAAAAAGATTTTATTGCCCTGGCTGGTATAGCTCAGTGGATTGGGCTCAGGCTGTGAACCAAAGGGTCACTGGTTTGATTCTCAGTCAGGGCACATGCCTGGGTTGCAGGCTGGGTCCCCAGTGCGGGCCACGTGAGAGGCAGCCAGACATTGATGTTTCTCTCCCTCTCTTTCTCCCTCCCTTCCCCTCTCTAAAAATAAATAAAACCTTAAAAAAAGATTTTATTTATTTATTTTTAGGCAGAGGGGAAGAGAGAGGGGGAGGGAAACATCACTGTGTGGTTTCCTCTTGTATGCCCCCTACTGGGGACCTGGTCCGCAACCTAGGCATGTGCCCTGACTGGGAATTGAACCAGGGATCCTTTGATTCTCAGGCTGGAGCTCAATCCACTGAGCAACAGTACCAGGGTGGATTCTTTTCTTAAGTGAGGTTCTCAGAATTTGAATTACCAAGTTAAAGAATATTAACTCTTTTCTGTCCCCTCATTAATATTGCCAAGTTAATTTTCCAGAGTTACATCTTTAGACCCACTGAGTAAATTTTTAAGTAATTTCATCTCTTTTGGTAAATATTGGGTCTGGGGGATTCGACAATTTATACTGCCATCCATTAAATGATGGATGTTACAAGATGGATGTTCTTGACTTATAAGAATCAGATTATATTCTCTAATATATTTTTAACAAATAATTTTTTTATTATATGTAACATACAATATGTTTCAAGTATAGTTCATTTGAATCACTGTGGATTGAAGAGAGTTGGTAATGATTAGGTTATAAAATTGAGAAATGAAAACAGTCTTAAAATTTAATTTTCAGTTCAAATAAGTTATCTAAAATATGATATCTAAGGTGAGTTTGTTGATTTTTAAATGAGTTTAATACTGAACAGAAAACCTGCATTTTAAAATTTGTAAACGTTTCAGTAAGAATCATGGTACTTATTTTTGAAAAGGCCTTTTTTGTAAGAAGGAAAACAAGGCATTAAAATGACTTAGAATTTGTTATTTAATATAATGTAAAACTGACTTAAATGGTAGTAGACCACTGACTTGTCCTCTTAAACCAACAGAGAACGTGTAATCACACCAGCAGTGATTCCTATCTCATTTCTCGCACTGTCTCATGATACACTAAAAACTTAAAAGCTTTCATTTTTTAGCCTATCAAATTCTTGAACCTGAAAATTCAGAAGAATACGCCTTTCTGTCATAGCCTGTTTAAAAACATGAGCCTAACATCTGCCACAAAAATTGACATCTTTCTCTTTTGTTTCTAGATTATATTGGAAACCCAAGTAGAAATATAAAGTTATCACATTCAGTACTGATGGTGGCAAAAAGGAAGGCTTCCCCAGAGATGTCAGCCACATACCTTATGAGCCACCTGTTTCCAGAGGAAGTCCTACTAAAAAGTGATGTCTGTGGCAATCTGTGGCATGGCATATGTGCCGTTAACCTCAATAAGATCAATGCTCTCCGAGGTTTGTAAATACAGAGTATGTGAGAATAAATATGTGCCAATTGTGGTAGAGAAGGGCAAAAAGAAAAATCCATTTGGTCTGTGTGTGTCCTGAGGAGAGGGAGCTCTTATATATGGCTCATTAGCACATAACAGGGAGCAGGTTTATGAATTGTGTTTCTTTTTGCATTTGGGTGCTCAGGGCTAATTGCTCTGTTTTGAATGGCATTATTAGAACAGGAAGGCATTATTGACTGTGGCTCCCTGGTATGGACTGCCAGGAGTTTGGAAATTCAAGCACCTTCATTTACTGAGGATCAAGGTCGAAGCTGCTGGGTACTGTCAATTTGTAGAAGTGTCAACAATAGCACAGCAGGCTGATTTGCCAGTTTTTTTCTTATGCACATGAGCATGGTATAATCTTGATCTGCAACATGTATAGATGAAGAAATAAAGCTACCAAAAACAGTTGTTTGAAATCTTACATTTGGATGAAGCAGGAAACAAAATAGTTCTTATTTGTGTCGCTGGTACCCAGCATACATAGTTCTAAGCCCCAGCCTGATCTCAATTGGTTCCTACCTTCATTATCACACATTTCACATCCAACAGATTTGAACAAAACTCGTGTTTCAGTCTAAGCTAAAGATAGCACCTTTCTTAAGCATTTGCTAAGCATCTAATCCAATTGTTTTCAAACTTTATTTTTACTGTAACCCATAGTAAGAAATACATGTTACATTGTAACTCAGTACATGTATGTGATTTTTTAAAAACTGAAGTAAAATTTTCACAAACAATAATCACTCTTTCTATAAGAGTTACATTCTATTCTATTTTTTCTATTCTATTGCATTTTTTAAAATTTTATTTTAATCATTGTTCAAGTACAGTTTTCTCCCTTCTATTGCATTTTTGAAAGTGCTGCTATCACTGATGTCATGACCTAGTAATTGGTCACAGTTTGCAATTTGAATATCACTGAATTAACACTCAGGGCAAAAAAACAAAACCCAGTTCCTCTTACCTTAAGTAAAAAAAGAACACAGAGTTTGTAACCAATTTGGAAAGAAAGGGTTTATAGAATAAATAGTCTTTCTAATGAAAAAAAAATTTAAGTGAGGAGTAAAAAATAACTTTTATAGTTAAATATCTAGACTAGATTAATTCCTTAAAGTGGACTAAAAGTATTATTTCACTTTATCTCTTAATTGAATTATATTACAAATCAAGATGTCTTTTGCAGTAAGAAATATTTAGCATGACTTTGACATACTATCCACATAGGGCATATTTTAACAAATTTCCCATGAGACTTAAGAGTAGTCCTTTGAAGAAAGGCAGCCATGTGAGTTATTTCAGCAGAGAGAATACAGTAGAATCATTGTTATCCTGGGGGCAGAGCCAGGTTCAAGGAGGAGAAGGTGACAAGAAAGCATATTTTACTTTAATGTAAGGAGAAAATGAACTTGGAGAATGAAAGGACTTAAAGTAAATGCTGACTGATCAGATATGAGAGATTTCTTTACTTGTAGAAGGACTGGGCTTTATGACTTCTAACATTTCTTTAGAAGTGTCAGTCCAGTATAATCTCTCAGAAACACATAGAATGGGAAGGGACTAGTCAAGGAACAGGTCTGAATGACCCATGGACACGGACAACAGTGTGGGGATTGACTGTGGGAGTGGGGGATGGGTTGGGTAGAGGAGGGCAAAGGGGGGAAAATGGGGACAACTGTAATAGAATGACAATAAAATATTTTTTAAAGAAATTACAGAAATACAGAAAATTACAGAAATTACAGAAATTAATGTAGTAAAATAATAAACATCTGTTTAACCAGTACAGATATACTGTACTGTAATATTTAAATGTTTTTTAAAGAAATTACAGAATTACAGAAATTAATGTAGTAAAATAATAAACATCTGTTTAACCAGTACAGATATAAACATTTTGCTTTTTGTGCTCCAAGTATTTTTTTAAGATTGTTTTTCCTAGTAAATTGCATTTCTTTTATCATGACTTAACAAAAGTTTTTCTTTTTTGTAGCTTTCACTTCTTTTTTTATTGTTGTTCAGTTAGTTGTCCCCATTTTCCTCCCAGTTGCTCTCCCCTGCCCTATCTAACCCCTGTTCCCAAAACAATTCCCACCCCATTTTCCTTGTCCACAGGTCCTTTGTACATGTTGCTTGACTTGATCCTTTCCCCTCTTTATTTTTTAGAGAGAGGGGAAGGGAGGGAGATAAACATCGATGTGCAAGAGATGTGCAAGAGAAACAGCTATAGGTTGCCTTCCACATGTTCCCTACTGGGGACTTGGCTTACAACCCAGGCATGAGCCCTGACTGGGAATTGAACTGGTGGCCTTTTGGTTTGCACCCCGATGCTTAATCTACTGAGCCATACCAGCCAGGGCTGGTCCAAGTTTTTTTTTTAATAATAAATCATTATTGATATCATTAAAACTCCATCCCATCATTTCTTTTCCCTCTCTTTCTCCCTGGAAGTAATCACAATCTTGGAGTTGGACCTATCGTCCCCATGCATATTTTATACTTTTTCTACCTGTGTTAATAGACCCATAACTAATATGTGATATTGTTCTTTAGTTGTTTTTAATGTACATAAATGGGATGTACAGTATATATCCTTCAGTGAATTTTTTCACTTGACATTATGTTTTAGAGATCTACTTCATGCATTTTAACTGCTGATTGGTGTCCCATTGAATAAATAGTTTATTTTTCTATTAATATAATTCCTTATCTTAAGATTTTATTACTTGGGGGGACCACTTCTGGAAATTAGTAGTCCAAGGTTAGAATGTAAATAGCCAAAGGTATTGATTTCTTATTAGGAACTATTATTTGATGCTTTTTGGTGAGAGTTCACTATCATTTAAGAGCTCTTTAGAGAATACTTTATATGGAGAAAGTTAGTAGGCTGCAGATTTGCAATCAGTGAACAACACTTATGCCCTCCCATCCATTTTTATGTATTGCAGAACTGTAAAATCTTAGCAATAGGAGGTGTACATTACAGGTACTCTAAAACAACTTCTTACCCAGAGCATGGTAAGCTTACCTATCTCAGCTTTGACATGTAGTCACCTCCCCTTGGCTTGAACACTTCCACTGATGGCAGTCCACTAAATTTTATTTATTTATTTATTTATTTATATTTTTAGTCAACTACATTTTTAGAGTGTTTTTAAAAAAATCCTCGCCTGAGGATATGTTTATTGATTTTAGAAACAGAGGAAAAGTGGGGGCGTGGAGAGAGGGGGGGAAGATTGATTGGTTTCCCATACTCACCCCAACTGGGGATCAAACCCACAACCTAGGTGTATACCCTGACTGGGGATTGAACCTGCAACCTTCGGTGTACAACACGCTCCAAGCCATTTAGCAACCCAGCCAGGGCTAGCTCTCTGCATGTTAAATGGTCTCTAAGTGATGAGAAAGATCTTCCTCCAAGTGGCTCACAATTAATCTCCCTTCAAGTGAGACATATTTCTTCTACTTCCAGAGCTACTTAGGGTAGATCCAATCACTTTTCACATGATAGGCCTTCAAGTATTTAAAGATAGCTATTACTTCCTGCTGGATCATCAGAAAGTAATAAATATAGCCTCTGCCCATACTTTCAATTCAGAACCGAGTGAGATCCTGTGGGATCTGGAGGTGGAGATAAAAATATCAGCTTTATTTTTGATTATACATGCTTAGTTCTTCCAAACTTTCTAATGTAGAGATCCCTCTATGTGGAAGCATGAAGATTGGAGAATGAATGTTATTCCCAACTTTTCCTTACTAAATCTTACACTTTAATAGTTAAATATTTCCATTTCCTTTGGTGATTCCTCATATAAATAAATTCCTAATCTTTCACCATCTGATTGGTGACTAACTTCAGATAAACTCAAGTTAATCCAGACTTGAGTTTAGTGGGGACTAACTCTGAAGTGTAGCTTTTATCATTTGCACAATGGAACTGAACCCCAAGAAATTGCTTTTGTATCTAGTGTTTCAGTGAACAGTTTGGGAAACACCAACCAATTCAGCCTCCTCATTGAAGCCTGTTGAAAGCTTCACAGTTCCTCTATTTGTCTTCCAGTCTATTATCTGTCATTGCTTTGCTGTTATGGATGATGGGACAAACCTGCTTTCTGTAACTTGTTTTTTGTTGGTAAAACTGTTCAACGAGATAAAGCCTGATACCAAGTCCAGTGACGTATCACTATAAGCCTCCTTCCAGGCTACCACTTACCTTTGGATATGAAAGCTTTTTAACTTTGTTAATTTCCCAGCCTATTAATCCTATAGAAAAAGCAAATGAAGTTAATAAGCAAATCCTATTAAAAAGCAACTAATGCTGGCCTGTAATTATCACCACATCCTTTCCTATGGGATCAAAGGTGTTTAGAAAGCGATCCAAAAATGTAAATGAGGCAGCTTTGCTTTTGTAGTTAACACCTCTCTTCCCTACCTTGCCCTTTGCCTGTCCTTCCACTTTCTCTAAGAGTGCTCCTTGAGCTGTGTTGCTCTGTCACCTTCCCTTATGGAAGTTTTCCTCTAACTCACAGGTGGCAAACACAAGATCCACAGGCTGAATCTGGCCTTCCACCTTGTTTTATCTGGCCCAGCACCTTGTTTCTGCCTGGCCGCAGTGCCTACCTCTCACTTAACTGCTAAGGAGTAGTTACATTTATACAGTCCTAAAATTACATTTGGCCCATTGAAGGCAACCACAAGGCTGTTGTGGCCCCTGGTGAAAATGAGTTTGACACCCCTGCCCTAACTGCAAGATCTACACACTCTCATTCCTTTTGTCTGTGATAAACCAAGCAGCAGTACCAAATTTAACAGTTCTAGCTTCTTGCCTCTAAAATATGAAACACACTGCAGCCTCTTGTGTGTTGTAAAGCCTTGGCGTGTCTCCATTTGGTATAACGAATAGCATAGCATATTTGATAAATTGAAGAATAAGAAAAGTTTACATTGGGTACTGAAGGCAGCAGAGGATTTCAATGCTAGTTATGTAGCAAGATCATGGGACATTGTTCTATCATGATGTAAGAATGGTGCTATTTCACATTATTATCCTCTTAGATGAAAAGATTTGTTAAGCTAATTTAATACTAGTTATAGTCCATGTGTTTTAATTAATTAAAGTCCTAATGACCCTTTGACAGATATAGCAATAGAACTAAGGTTGAATAAATTAATTTCTCTAAATGATTACTTAGTAATTTATGTTTTGGGACTTTACCACCAGAATTTCTCCAAGACGTCTTCCCAAAATGTGATCTATCAGAAAATGGACGTGACTGGAAGTTGTGTATGCAGTCTATCAATTGCCACAACGGTAGTTGTAGAGGTGGACACGGGAATTTGACATGTGAATCACTGCCATCCGAAGTGATAGCTACTACAATAAAGTCGGAGTCAAGTGATACCGACTATAGTGATTAAAGTGTTTGAATGTCAGCTATTCTACATTTTTTCACTGTTACATTATCCTGTAAGTTTTTCAAGTTATAATTCCAAAATTAACCTGTTATAGTAGCAGTGTAGTTCTACATTCATACCTGAAGAAAAATCCAATGTTCTTTTTCTGCCCACATACAAAGGGGAATTGCATGAGGAAGATGTGTAGTTTTTCATCTCATGAGCAAAGTGATGAGCAGGATTGTAATAAGAAACTCTGATGAGGGACATGTTGGTAAACTCCTACATTGCTGTTGTAATGTAGAATACAAATAGTGCAGATACAGGTAATGAGATAGAGAGCCATAGCTGGATAGGCAAACCATAATGTTGACTTTAGGAACTTGTAGGTAGTAGACCTAATATTTGTTAAGTGATACCAGCTTAGATGTAAGGTCCACTGATTCAGAAGGGGGGTATGGTTCACATATAACCCAAACACCCATGCTGGTTTTCTTCTACATCCTTAGTAGGGGATTTGTAGAATTGACATATGGTTTGACTTAACCTTTCTGGAGATGGGACCTGTGTTCTTTAGATTGATTCCAGATAAGAACAGTATTCTTTTAATTACCTCCTGATAATATTTTATCACAAAAGTTTGCTAAGAGTTAACTTAGAAAAGCATATCAGGGACTTTTGGATTCCATCAAAGAAAATTGCATTTAAGAATACATCACTATGAATAAAAAGAATCTGACAAGATTTAGACAGATTAAAGTTATTCAGATTATTTCTTTGAGGGTAGTCTTTGGCTTCACCATCCAGTTTCACAAATAACTTTACAAACTTCTGGTAATACAGCTAATGTGGAAAAATAAAATTATATCCTAGGCAAGATTAAATTTCAAATTGTATTTGCAGATTTCAAATTTGACTTGTATTTTATGGTATCTGAATTATTCCCTGGATTAAAAGCAAAATTATACAAACAAAAAGTTCATATTTACAAAAATTTTTCAAGATTTATATGGTTAACTTTATTATGATGGTTGCTTATATAACTTTTGAGACCAGACCTGTTCAACTGAACTTTTCATTATGTTCTGTGATTTTAGGTTGTCTAATAGTCACTAGCCACATGTAGCTCTGGAGCACTTGAGATGTGGCTAATTAAACAGAGGAACTAAAATTTAAGTTTTATCTTAGTTTAGCTAATGAAAATTGAAATAGCCACATGTTGATAGTAACTACTGTATTGGATAGCACAGGTTAGAATGCGCTTTATTATTTTTAAAGTGTTTAAAGTGGTCCCCATGGTTTGAATCCCTAGAAAACACATAAACTTCTCTGAAGTCACACTGATTGAGCAAAATAAATTTCATAAAGGTGCTTAAAATTTTATTTTATAGTATTTTTATTAAAATTATTGGGGTAACATTTCTTAATAAAGTTATATAGGTTTCAAGTGTATAATTCTTTCATACACCATCTGTATATTGCATTTGACCACCCAAAGTCAAATCTTCCACCAGTATAGTATTTTCTTTTTGTATTTTATTTTATAATAAATTAGACCTTTTATGTTACCAAAATGTCACAGGTTTATTCTTTCATTGTATTAGTCCAATGTTAAATACTTTAAGTGTCTGTTTATAAGACTTGTTTTTGAGAGCTATATTTAATATATTTTGTTTTTCAAATAAATCAATTAAAATTTAGAATGTTCTTAATACAGATGCTTGGGATTTTTTATTGCATAATTTTATAGAACTTTTACTAATGGTGTCTATAGTATTTTTTTAATTAATGATGACATATTTTTCAGCCATATCCATCAGTGTGGCACAGTTAGAATGTTTGCTTTCTTGCTTGATAAGCAAAACAGTAGTTGACTGTTACTGTAACCCAGTAATAACAATTTACTATTGTGGATGTAATTGTCAGTTATTGACAACTTTGGAAGTGTTTTGTCCTTCCTGGGTAAAATATATGTTACTAAAACATAATATTTTATACTTCAATATTTATTTAAGTATATGCTAATAGTTTCATTTTGGCCATCAAGGCTTAGATTCTCAGCCCTGTTTCACTTTCTCTATAACCCATATCCACATCTAATACAGTGCTGCAGTCCCTTCTTATCTGCAGGGGTATGTTCCAAGACCCCCAATGGTTGCCTGAAACTGCAGATAGTACCCACTGAACCATATATAAGAGGCCTGTCCAGAAGGTATCCAGCTATGTATGTGAAAAATAGAGACATTTATTGAAGAAGATAGAAGAAATATGTGCATAGGACAATGACACCTCAGTTTCCTTCAAAGAAGGCACCTTGGGACTTCTCACAGTTCTCCCAATCACCATCAGTTGCCCTGTCGTATTTTCCTGAATCTCATTGACGGTTTGAACTCTCTTCTCTTTCAAAGGTTATTTTAGTTTTGGGAAAACCCAGAAGTCTCAGGGTGCCAAATCTGGGCTGTAGAGGGGCTGAGTCACCTGGGTGATTTGATTTTTCCCCCCAAAACTCTTCATGAGACATGATGCATGAGCAGGCACGTTGTCGTGGTGAAGCTGCCAATCACCAGTTGCCCATAGTTTTGGCCTTCTGAATCATCCAAACAGTTTTCATTGAAGAATGTTCAAGTTTAACACAAAATTTGATGCATATTTATTGCTCTACTTGCTTAGTCATTTTGAATGTGATGGCCACACAGTATACATGTTCATTCTATGGCATCTACCCCCCCCCCACTGACTAGTACAGTGAAGCCATCATTGTTCACACATGTACATTCCAGTCCACTCTGCTTGGCTGCCAGGTTACATCTGTGTTGTGCCAACTGTTCTCATTATATTAACTATGGCTGGATTTTTTTCTGGACAGACTTTATATTTCTTTTTTCCTCTATACATGCATACCAATGATAAAGTTTAAACTACTCTTGTACTTTGAAGCCATTATTAAGTAAAATAAGGATTACTTGAATATAAGCACTGGGATAGCGCAGCAGTAAATGTAATAACTGATACCCAATAGCTAAGTGACTAACTGGAGGGTTGGATTCAGCGTGAAGATGCTGGACAAAGGGATGATTCATGTCCTGGAAGGAACTGAGCAGGACAGTGTGAGATTTCACCAAGCTACTCAGAATGGCACACAATTTAGAATTTATAAAGTGTTTATTTCCAGAATTTTCCATTTAATATTTTTGGACTTTAGTTGACCACGGGTAACTGAAGCTATGGAAATCGAAACCCCAGATAAGGGGGGTGGGGGACTACTGTACTATTTCTGCAGTATTCTGTAAATGGCAATCTGTGATTACATTCACTCTTGTGTAGGAGTGAAGCACTTGTCACCTCTTCACCCAAATTTATTTTAACTCATAATACATTAAATTTGAGATGACTGTTTTAGCCATGATAAAAAAAGAATCTGCTCATTCACTTTGAGATGGAATAATTGTAATCTCAAATCATTAGCAAAATTTGAAAGGTTGATAGATGATAGGTACAAATTTTGTTACACCAACACAGGTGAGCAAGAAATACTACTTTATTTTTTTGTAACAACCTAATTTCTATGTTGATTACACAACTTCAAGGTGTTCTTGCAGACCTTATGGTCAGATGGGGCAGGGAGTCCCAGAATGGGGAGCTGTGTTTCAGCCCACTTGCCTCTGTGGAACAGGGTGAGGTACTCTGGGCAACTCCCAATTTTTTCAGGCCTGCTGTCTGGCCTGGAGGGGTGAAAATCTATGCTCAGCCTTTCCTGTGAGTTCATCCCTGTGCCTGGATGGAGCAAGAGAACCTTCCAAGCCCAAGCACTGGATTTGCCTTGGGGAAGCAGCTCCGCCCACTCAGCTCCAGCAGGCTACTAAGTGTTCCCAGCAGCCCCTGCTGCAGTGGACCTGGGAGCCATCCTCCTCAGCGTGGGGCTGTGATTCAGCTCCTTTCTTGTGTATGGGCAAACCAGGTGCTAAGACCAGTAAATCTCTACGTTTGTGGACCCAAATCATACAGACCTGTACCCCAATGAGTTCCCTGGTCAAAGTGCAGCCTGACGTGGTTCTGCAGGTGAGCAAAGTGGGATTATTACTTGGGTGCTGCAGGTAGGGACTCATGTGCTCAAGATGGAGTGCTGGCTGTTGTGAGCTCCTCTGTTTCTTGGTCTTAATCAGATTCCCAGTGATTGACCCCTGCAGGTTTCCCTGTTGTCCCTCTGAGATGAGGCCAGAGTAGGGGGTCCCACAAAGCATCCACAATGCTTGGGCTCTGGTTGTCTCCCAGGCTGTCTTCCCACTGGAGGAACTGGAGTCTTGGGGAAACCTCTCCACATGATGCTGCAATGGTCTGGAGTCAGGCAAGGCAGTAAGCCTATAGTTGCACCTTCTACCTGAAGCAGTCTGTCTTGGTGTCTGTGTGCAGGGTGCTTCAGCCTCACTCTATGGTTTAGCATTTTCTCAGTGGTGTCTACTTCATGAGTTGTTTGTTGTTCTTGTGGTGGTGGGTGGTGGGGTGGGGCAAGTCTGGAAGGACCCATGTCACCATTTTGTGACTCACTCTGAATTTCTATTTTGAGTCTCCATGCACTGTGAGTATAATCTTTGCCTTAGTCATTCACAGCTTTAGTTTCCCAGGCATGCAAGTAAAATACCCAAGACATAAATGGACATAGGTTTGGGAGAATACCAATGGGAGAATACCAAATGGACATAGGTTTGGGCGAATACCAATGGGTGGGATTTTCATTCTTTTTTCAATTGCTTCTAAGTTTTGGAGCTGGGGAGAGGACTTCAGAATAAGGTTCTTGTAAATTATTTTTTAGCCATCAGCAGCTAAGATGTCTGTCTGTCCTACCAGGTCTTTAGTCATTGGCCCAGAACCATCCTTATTCCTGTCCACAGCACCTGCTCACATGGAACAGTTTCTTTCTCTGCCCCTTCCAGGTCCCCCTCAAGCTCATAGGAATCAGTTTGTTGTGGCTTCACTATTTTGCATCACACAAAACCAGTTTTATCCATTTCTCCACATACTTCCAT